AAAGAAATTAGATATATAGGCTCAAAGTGGACGATCCGGGTGTCGTTCTATTAGAGGTTTTACGGTATTACAAAAGAGTTTATCTAAATTATTCTCTCATAAAGTGTTACATTGGAACCGTGCTCAATAGCTTTTTCATGTCTTGTAGGTAGATAGACACGTGTAGTTTGTGTGGGGTTAAACACAAATCATGCAATGGGAACGAAAGGAGAAGAGTACCTCTTATGATCACTCTGAAAAAAAACTGATGGAACAACTACTAGCTGGTGAAACTGAAGCATTGAAATATAAAAGAATACCGTAAACACTCCAACAGAACGCCACCCGGGCCATCTACTTTGAGCCTAAATATCTCATTTTCTGTGAGAGATATCAAAAAGTAGTTAACTAATAAAATGTTGCTAATATCATGAGAAACATTTTATTAGTTAACAGCTTTTTGATATCTTTCGAAAAAGTGAGATATATAGGCTCAAAATGGACGGTCCGGGTGGCGTTCTATTAGAGTGTTTATGGTACTCGGTGGATATACGTATTGAGAAAGGAAGTAAATTGAGTCAAAATAAGCTAGGCTCTGATCAAAAGCTCTATAAACTGGATATTTTTGGCATAAAATTCTGGGTTCTCAAAAAAAATTTGGAGCCCAAATTAACAGTGTAGTAGTGATAAATTTTTACCAATGCGAAGCTAGCGTAGAGGAGAGGATTGTGAAGCTAGGCAAAGGAGAGGAGATAGAGTTGAAAAGTGATGACAGGAACAGATACTTTGAAAATCACAAAACAAAGTCTTCACAACTATCCTGAAGGTCGAATTTCAAAGGTTTTACCCTTTTGATTTAACTCGGGAAGAGGGGATTTTTCTACTTTGACTAGAAAGAAAAGAGGAAATTGAAACCCTAGAAAAGGATGAAAACAAAAAAGAAGAGGAGATTGGCGTTGGTTAGCAACCCTCTATTCCCAAAACGAGGCTACTCCCATGGTTGTTGCTAATACACATCGCAACCAGAATTTTCATCTCCCTCCAAGTGTTGTGAAGAAGAGGGAGAGAGAGTGCTCTCGGAGCCCGGTGTGCGCAAATATATAGATGCAAATAGAGAGTACAGAAGAGAAGGGAAGGAACTGTGTCTGTGTTAAGTTCAAGAAAAAAAAGAATATTGAAGAGAAAGAGGGGAAGAAAGAAAGAATTTGGAAGTGAGTGGGCAGAGATAATAATGAAACAAGCGCACTTTTTTTGCTCGTTCCCAACGGCACGTAATGGTCAGTTTTGAGTGTTTTTGGGTGATTCGATTACTGTAGTTAGTGTGAAAAGTCGAAATCTGGAAATCAGTTGAAAAAAAGTGAAAGGATGAAAGTGAAAGGATAAAAATCGATTGAGGATGTTTGACCAACGCCTAATCATCATAATTCTCCTAATGAATAAATGGATGGTGTCTCTTTTCTTTTAGTCTGGTAGAATTTAAAGAGTATTACAAAATGAGACTATTTGTAAGACTGTATCTGATTATGAATAAAGTTAGCCAAAAACCACCTCAGCTACGATGTCACAACTTTATGACCTGAAAATTTGTTCATAGACAAGATATAGTATTTCAAATAGTATCATTTTGTAATGCTCATCAAGTTCCATCATACCTAATTTAGATTTTTCGAAAACATTGATTCTAAAAGAAATTATGACAGGGCCCGGCAAAGGCCCGCCAGGGGCGCGGTTTACAATTATTGAATAAGCCAAAATTGAACGTTCTAGAACAAGTAAACCTGTTTATTCATAAATTCATAAAGATGAATCTTTTAAATTCACTAATACTGGTGCCCATCGGAACTGAGTGGGCGGAGCCTCTGAAATTTTCCAGCTGGAAGAGAAGTGACGTGTGAGAGGATCCAGCAAAACCAGTTATTTAGGAAACTTCCAGACAAATGTTTTTCAAAACTTTCCTGCTAAACGTCTTACTAATCACCCAGATCAACGGACTACCAAATATTTCCGACATAACAAACTTTTTCAACAATGATATCGACGTGCCAAGTAAGCGTCATGAAATGGGCGGAGCCTGAAATCTCTCTTTTCCAGAAACACGACCAGATATAACCGACAGAATTGGGCTCTATTCCCTCTATTCCCATATTCCCCTTCCCAGTGAACTAGGTCAATATACTGATTATTTGGTGATCTATCACTTCCAAAATGTATCTTTCGCTGGAAAAATACTAGAGTTTGATTCGATGGGATGGTTGAATGGGAAACAAAGTATCAATCACAAACTACCGTACTTCATTGCAAATCCCTCTTTCCGAACATCTCACATTTCAAAAGCATGGTGTGATTCTACTGATTTCTTTCATATCGGCTTCCGAATCTATCAGACAACTCGAGAAGCTGGTCTTCCTTATCAGGTGAAATGTGCCACGTGTCATCCAATTATCGAAGGACTCAACAACATCAACTACTTGTTTCCGGAGAGAGATTTTAGTCAGCAATTGACAAAACTGGCGATTGGGACGAGACATCTCAACAACGACAAGGACTACTGTAGTTATATGGATTGTGAGCAGAATCCACGTGTTGCTGATTTCGAGCAATACTTGCTGGAGAACGGTTGGTTTTGGGCTCACATTAACGATAGGGACCTAAATTACAAGTTAGAAATAAATTGGGACCCCTCAAATAAATCAAAGGCTATTAACAGTAACGATTTCTTATAGCAAGGTAAAATCTAAATATCGTTTTTCCTCTGATAGAAGCCTGTCCCAAACCGCCAACTTTGAGCTCAATTATCTCGCTTTGTATGAAAGATATAAAAAATTTGTCAACTATCAAAATATTGGTAATTTTATGATAATGAATTTATCAATTGACAACCTTTTGATATCTTTTACAGGAATCGAAATAATTGAGCTTTTCAACACATTTTTATTGGTTGAACCTTTTTGTAGTCTTTATTAAGAACCACATCGAGTGAGCATATAATAAAAGAGGACTATTGTGACCGCTTTAAGAGGAGCCCAGACACATTGAGCTCAATTATCGCGATTTCTATAAAAGAAAAAAAATTGGTTAACTGATAAAATATTGTTGATATTTTGATCTACAATTTATCAGTTGACACATTTTTGATATCTCTCACAAGAATCTAGATAATTAAGCTCAAAATTGGCGCGTGGGGTGGTCTTCTATTAGAGAAAATTGCAGATTTGTACTTTGGAACTTGGACAAGATGGAGTGGGGAGCATGCGACAACTGAAGCAGATCGAGAAGTTTTAGGTTATCCCAATGGAGAGTTAGCGGTATTTTGAAAAGTTTTGAAATTTTGAAAAAAAAACAAAAAAAAGTTTTAGATTCACTCCCGTCGAACCAGTGGATTCACCAGTATGTGCGGAATGGAATTGAATGGAAAAGTGATCAGTAGTAACATTTTTGTGAATGGCGATGTAGTGGGACCAGATGATTCCGATGGTAGATCAATTTATCTCTCAGAAGATCAAATTTTGTTCTTACAGAAAAAATCTTCACCTATCAAGACTACGAATCGCTTCAAGTTACTGTCGGAGCTGTGAAGGATGAGCAATTGGAACTTTTTGTGTTATGGGATAATTGGGGATGTTGCTCGGCGTGTTGCTGTCCTCCAGCTATTTGTGGACACGACTTTCAGACGTCTTCGGATTGGTGAGTGATGGGTCAAATACATTATTTTGATGGGTTACTGTAGTACAGAACAACCTAAATTTTTTATGGGTCTAGAATTAGAACTTCTTTGAATGAATTCCAGCGAAAACGTCTTCTCATCTAGAACTCGAACCGGACACCTCTCCGTTAGACTTCTCGAAAATAGAGTGGTAATTCTTTTGCTCCTCGAATTCCCGAATCTCTTCTTTCTCTAGAAGTCGAACCAGCAGCACTTGATAGAGCTCTTCAAACTTCTCTCGATTCCACCATATACGCATCGTGGCATTCCATTATTCTCCTCCCTTCTCCAGAATAGTCCAGCTGTCAAATTGGCTGTTGACACAATTAAACAATCGCTAATTCCCAAATTTCTAACTGCCAACAAAGCAGCAAGTGGCTATAAATTCAGATCAGGAATGTTTGTAGTGTCCGAATCTTGTAAATCGCATGTTCAAAAAACTGACTGTTTGGAATGGGCGAAGTGTCATAATGTTTCGCTGGCAGATGCCAATATGGAATCCTCGGAAACAGTTTCAGACTCGTGTCAACAGGTGCACTTTGTGGACATTCGAGTGGGAACTGACCACATGAAAGTGATGTGAGCCCCTTGCTTGAAATATTTCCACTTTTTTCAATATTCTAGAGTCGGCCAACATCAAAACCTTCGAATTCGTGTGGATAGTGAGGTGTACGACATGAACAAGATCAAGCCAAAGTGGAGAATCAACTTGCGCAAACCGAAGAAATTCGATAAGTCCCGCCCATGTCTGGCGCAGGGAATCGTCCAGAGAGCCGATGAGATTTTGATCTTGAACTTTGTAATGTGGGATCTGAAGGTTGATTTGATACTAGGCAATGAGAAGGTTAGAATCACTTTTGCGAGTGATCGGAGGAGTGAGAGTGATCGTGTGGTAAAGTACACTATTTTCTATTGGGCCATTGCTATAGTCGGTGAGTTTTTGAGCCCTAAAAATTTGATTATCCTACTTTTTCTTCAGCCTTCTTCCTATTGCTTATAGCTGCGGTCATCTTCATGCATCGGGAGAAAACGCGACGGATGGAGCGTGCAATAAAATCTGCCACTACAGAATAAAGCCGTATTATATCTTTTTGAAGAAAATTTCGAGAACATTTTTTCATAAGATCGAATTATGTCGTTAGATCATAAATATACATACAACTTTTTCGAAATGATTAGTTATTTTTCCTCCTTTTTGGGTCTCCTCCCATAGAAGACGAGGAAGGTGTTGAAGTGAGCGTTGGCGTTGTTGCGGTCGCTTTTCGTTTGCGAGCGTTGGCCTGGAACTATTTTGACGATTACATTTGCCCGGTTCTAATGAATCGGAACTAACCGTTGAAATTTCTTTGGAACTAGAACAATCAATCCAGGAAGTTATTCTTCGAGCGGTGGAAGCCATTCCAGGACCTCCCACCATGTCATCGTCCAAACCACCTTCTGGCAACTGTGAAATTCGGAAACGTGAATCGATATCAAAATCTTTTCCTTGTTCCTGCAGTTTGGTCCGTAAGGATTCCAACTCGAATTCTGCAGTCTGCATGGCAGATTTGAGCTCTTGAGCCAGCATAATTTGTGAGCGGAAATCGTTGTAGACCTTCATGATGGACTCCGAAGCGACTGGATTCATTTCTAAAGCATAACAATGATTTAGGAATTCTGAAAGTCGCAATATCTAACTCACCCATTTTGCATTTCTCCAGAACCACCTCAATATTCTTTAACTTCTTCTGTCCAATGTTAGTCGGCAACTTCATTTCTTGACCGCGCATATGAACACCGGAAGACTTGAATTCGGAGAATCGCAAAGCAGTAACAGAAATATCCAGAGGATTGAATAGTGGACCAGGAGCCATCGAAATGGATCCCGCTTTCGTTCTGAACTGTTTGTTGCGCTTTCCAGCGGCCGCTCCAGAAAATCCTGCTGTTGAAGGACTCGCCGGCTGTTCTGACATATTGATGAGCTTCTGAAGATCGTGCGCCTTCTTTTCTCTCTCCTTCTTTCTCTGATCGATTCTTCGCATCTCAGCAATCAGATCCTCTTCTTCTTGCAACTGCTCTTTAGTCCGATTCCATTGCTTGTTCAACTGTTCTTTTCGTCGACGTTCGTGATCTGCATCATAACCAGTGGGTGTCGAACTGGGATCCTGGAAGTGAAATACAGTTGAATGATTAATATTTTACCCAGTTTCTCACTCTCAGCAACTGCAATTCATACTGAATTTGATAAAACCGTTCTTTTAGATCTTCAGCTGACCGATTTACTCCAAACTTTTTGCAATCATATCTATCGGCGACTATAAACCAACGAAGATCAAATTGTCGGCAGACATCAAATAAGTAATCAGTTTCTTCTCGCGTCCATTTTGCAATTTTCAGATGATTTTCATACTCTTCATCAGTGTAAGTAGGAATTTCGATCACCTAAAACAACTGTTTCGATTTTGAAAGGGAAATTGATAATTCTCACTCTGTTGAATTTTGCGAATGCATACGGAGTTTGTGCTTCAATTTTATCTGATCGAACCCAGTGATTCAACATAAGATTGTCAGTTCTTCCTTCATTAGTGAAAGGGATCCATTTGAATTTTCGAACAGCGCGAAATCCGGTCTTCAAATTTCAATTTGTTAAAAGAATAAAATTTTTGATTTTACCTGAAACTTCTGCTTGTAAGTTTTCTTAACGTCTGTGGGCATGACAGATGTAATATCCTTGCCAGCGATCAAGTTGAACAGCTCCCGCTTCATTCCTTCTGGTTTTCGAAATGAAGTCTGTTTCGGCGTTTTTTTCGAGGTTGTTTCTTTCGAGGCGTCGGCGGCGCCGCCCAGGAGAATTTGATGAGCATCTCCAATCATCTGTAAATTCAATGAAACTAGTTTTTTCTTGTTATTTTTTTCTAAACGGCGAAACAAATGCGGAACAAAAAAGAAACAGAACCTGCTGGTTGTACATTTTCTCCGAAACAGTTAAGTATTTCTTCATCAGCCTGTTTGAAATTATATTTCTACCCGCTTATTCAACAAAAAAAAACAAAAAACTCGGAAAAAAAATTCTCTCGCTGCGAAAATGCAAGTTCGCCCCACTGAACATTTCGCTGTTAGATTCGCAGGTTGGCCGCTATACGGTGGCGTTGGCTGAGTAACAAACGCTTAACCATTGTGTGTAATTTTGGGTGGTGGAACTTTTTTCAAAAATGTCTTTTTGGTGATTTCTCGGTGGTTTTTAGTGTTTTTTGATGTTTTCTGAACATTTTTCTCATGAAATTCTGATTCGCGAGTATGTTTAAGCTACAATTTAAAAAATCGTGGAGTTTTCTTTGTGAATTATCGTGCTTTTTCGAAGAATTTCATCTGTTCGGCCTAAAACTAAAATTTTTCATTTGCAGCACTCAAACTGGCAATAGAGCACAGAAAGGCTAAAATCAAAAGATAGCAGTCCTTCAAAGCTCTTTAAATTCTACTTCGAATCAACCATGGTGAGTTTTTGTTTTTTTTTTGTATATCTAAAAGCTAGAAATTAGAAGAAGCATAGCATATTTTTTCAGGCTGTCGCTTTCAAGAATGAGAAGGCCCTCACCGATAACTCGGAGCACCGCATCCGTTTGACTCTGACCTGCCAAAGCGTCAAGCCGCTTGAGAAGGGTAGGGTTTCAAAAATGAAAGAAGAAATTTTTTTCTATACAAATTTTTTAGTCTGCGCTCAACTCATCGACGGAGCCAAGAACGAGCACCTCATCGTCAAGGGCCCAATCCGCATGCCCACCAAGGTTCTCCGCATCACCACCCGCAAGACCCCATGTGGAGAGGGATCCAAGACCTGGGATCGCTTCCAGGTGAGTAAATCAGGGAAGAATGTCAAAAAATCAGAAAAGTTGTTCGAATATTTCGAGCATATCCGTTTCGAGAAATGTCAATAGCAAAAAAACAAAAATGTGGTTTTTTGATGTCTCGAATTTATTCTGGTGTTTAGCTTTTAAATTGAGACCTGTTTCCGGTGATGCACCGTGTTTATGAATTAAACGTATTATTCTCAAACATTCTCGCCTCGCGGTCGTGCCATATGAAAAACCTCGGCCACTGGCGTATTGATTTCCCAAGATAATAATCAATTCATTTCAGATGCGCATCCACAAGCGCCTCATCAACCTCCACGCTCCAGCTGAGGTTCTCCGCCAGATCACTTCGATCTCCATCGAGCCAGGAGTCGATATTGAGGTCACCAGAGCCGACTAAGTGCCTTGGTGCGGCTACAGACGGGTATCCGGCTCGATGTTCATACACCGCGACTCTTTCCTTTTACCTTGTTTGTTGCTGCTCCTTTTGGTTTTGATTTGTTGTGTTGGAAGTGTTATGAACTAAAAATCATAAAACTTTATCATATCTCTTGTTACAATTTATGGTTTAGAACCTTTCCGCGCGAATACTTTTAACAGATAACAATTTACATATCACTTATACTCCATCTATTTAGAATCGTACATGAGCTCGAAAAATATGACGCCGCGCAGACAGATGGCTGTGAACGCTGCAATAGACAAGGATTGTCCGGTTTGCCACTGTGAGATGGTGCTTCCGACAGCAATTCCGGCGTGTGGCCACAAATTCTGCTTCCTCTGCCTTAAAGGTGTGAGCATGGCTCACTTGGGAGGGTGTCCGATTTGTCGCGGGCCAATCGATGAGAAGATTTTCAAAAAACCAAAGCAAAATCTCAATCTCAAAATGGATATGCCTGATTCACCAGCTCCATCGACAAGTAATTCAGCTGAGAAAGAAGTGAAAGAAGAGCCAGTTGACGAGGATGTCAAGCCTGATGTGAATGCGCTGAATGGTGAGTTCTTCAGCTAAACCACGTGGAAGCGCTTTTTTTTTTGATACCCCTAGACTTCTGCGAAAGTGACCTATTTATTATATTTCAGCCGCTCTTAACACCGCGTCTACTAAAATGTACTGGCTGTATCACGGACGAAATCGCGGATGGTGGCGATTCGATCCACGTGTCGAGAAAGACATTGAGGAAGCATACAACCACAGAACGCCAATCACTGAAGTCACAATTTGCGGACAGGCGTACGTCATCGACATTGCTAAAATGACACAATATCCGAAGAATAATAAGGGTGCGGCTCGAGATGTAAAGTGAGTTGCAGAAATTACGTCTTTAAATATAACACAAATTTCAGACGCGTTGACAGCAACGAATTCGACACACTCGACGTTAAGGGACTGGCTGGAGTTTTCGCTGCTTCTGGCGGTGCCGGATCATCATCCACCTAATGAACTCAGTTTTCCTGATACTCGAATCAATTAACCCGTAGACATTCCCTACTTCCCTTTCGTCTCAATATCATTACGGCATTCATTATTAAGGTCTCCCCATATGGTTTCATTTCCTCTGTTTCCGGAAAAATGATACTATTCATCCATAATACTGTACATTTCTGTTTTTTTTGCCTCGCTTTCTTTTCGTATAAACATTTAGAAAAAACTTCTGTATGATTCGCAATTCGAAATCCTTTCTCCCTTCACTTACACACACCTGGTACTCCTTTCACTCTCAACTGTCCCGCTGACCTACTTGTACTGGTCAACCTTCTAAAGCGAAGCGCAACGACTTATTTTTTTTTGGATGGATGCTGAAGCAGCGAGGATGTGACAGGCTTTAGCTTCCAGTTTTGCTTTTGAGATGTCGCCAGACGATTCAATAAACTTGAAGAAGGCGATATTCTATTTTTCCATTTTCTTCAACTTGATTTTTTGTAATCAATTTTTAAATAATTGCAGAAAATGACCTCAGACATTCTACAAGAAGCATTCAATGCTACGGTTTCCAGAGATTATGAGAAGTTAGTGTTCCGAAAGTTTAAAGGCGCATCCTCGGTCCAGCAACGAAAATTCCAATTTTTTGAATCAGTGTACCTTTAATATTATTGTTGTGCGAAAAAATTGGAGTCGAGACGCAGACAGTTGAACGAAAAATTTCTCTGCGTCTCACCGAGTATGTGCTGTTTGCATACCGTATTCAGACCGCAAAAATACTCTCTAACTCCAATCTTTTCGGACAACAATAATACCGTACCTCACAATCAATTTATTTTGCATATTTCTCTCATTTTTCGCTCGTTTTTGTCAATTTTCGTCTGATTCTCATTAGTGTCTAACCGAATTTTCTTATAATTTTTTATCTTATATTTTATTTTTAACTGTTTTGCTATATATGATAATCAGAAAAAAATTGTCAAAAAAGAACGAAAATTAAGAGAAATTGGCGAAAATTGAACATTTTCGAGATACGTTCGCTACTGGACCGGATTTTCGGCCGCAATACGCGAATAGACTAATAGTTCATTTAAAGCAGCAAAGGCTCAAATAGGGTGACCCTATTCTATTTAAAACATAACACATTTGCAGAGCAGTTTCTGTGATTCGCAATGTGCTTGCTAGTCAGCCAACACATTCGTTCTCTGTGGAGCAGTTGGAATTGATTGATCATGTGTATTCGTGTATTCTGAATACAAGTCATTATGATGAATCATTGATTGAGGTGAGTTGGTGTCGCGTTTGCATTGGAAAGCTTTATTATCTGTGTTCTAACAATTAGTCCAAGTGCTTAAACGGTACCAAATATGAGAAAATATGAAACAACGTAATCTCAATGTTTAATTAACTGAAAATTGTTCTATGTTGGCATTGGCAATCAAGATATTTTAAATCCACTAACTTTGAGCTCAATTATCTCGGTTCCTATGAGAGGTGTCAAAAGGTTGTCAACTTTTAAAAGATATTCATCATGATATCACCAATACTTTACTAGTTGACAAAGTTTTGACATCTCTCATAGAAACCGAGATAATTAAGCTCAAAAGCTCATATAGAAAAGGTGGCATCAGATCTTAATAAATACTTTTTATTAAAGACTACAAGATGATTCAACCAATAAAATTATGTTGAGAAGCTTTTATCAATGTTCCCCTCGTTTTTTATGCACACTCTTATGTGATTTCCAAGGAATTCTAGATACCGTAAACAGTCTACATACTAGAACGTCAGTCAAATCGTCGACTTTGAGTTCACCTATCTCAATTCCTGTGAAAGATATAAAAAGTGTATACTGATATAATGTTTCTGACATTATGATAAACATTTTGTTAGTTGCCCCCTTTTTATTATCTTTCACAGAAATCGTGATAAATTGGTTCAAAGTTAAAAAGACCTGCTGAGCTAAGCGACGGCTGCCGCCCTTTTAACGTTGAGCTAATTTGTCTCGATTCCTGGGAGAGATGTCAAAAAGTGTTCCACTGACAAAATCTTTAATACGATATCAAAAACATTTTATCAATTGACAACTTTTTATATCTATAACAAGAAGGATGACATTCTGTGTTTAGGCAAAAATATCCACTTTCCAGGTCTGCTGGGAATGGATAGATGCAATCGAACGAAACCCACGTACTGTTGACACCCGTGCTGTTTCTAGCTCTCAATTGAGCATATACTATGCCTACCACACTATATGTCGAGTTCAGGAACGAATGCCGCGGAAGCCAACGCATTCACAGTTGAGGCACGAAACATGGACTAGAGTTACACATAGTTTTAGGTGAATTCCTTTTTTCTTATCTCAGTTTAATCCATTTTCTATTTTCCAGCTACTTCTGGGCAGCGGCTACTCAATTATGGAAGCACTACGAGCTTGATAGATTAGATGTTCTCTGTAGCTGGTCATATTTGTGTCTGCAGTTTGCAGATGTGGTCACGGAAGAGGTTTTGAATGTTGTGGAGGTATGAAAAAAAGGCTTTTTAGATCTGTGATTTACACCTACCTTACTGATGATAGTTAGCTACGTGGAAACTCCAGATCTTGGTAGTCATAGCCTGCATATCAAACTCACTCAGACGCAGTGAGACTTAGTTAGACAGGGAAGACTAGACGAAATAATAAGAACAGTGTGAGGTTGAAACTATTGAATATTGACACTTTTCTCAAAACTAGTTCTTTCCTTTGATGAAGAAGTTAGATAATTTGGAAAAAGTTCGAAAGGCTTGACCTTGATCTGAGATGAGCAGTATCTCACTAGCACACTGTCTATTACTAGGGAGGTACGTGCTCACCTCAAATCAAGAATTGTCTTTCTGGAAACTTACACTTCGAAATAGGAATATTTAGAGTTATATATAGGATTAGAAAAATTCTAAAGAAATAGGAATAAATATAGAAGACGTACTGTACCGAAGAACTTCGGTTTCTGAAAAGGTAGTTAAAACTTGTCCGATAGACATTTATAGATGAACAGACAGCAGCTAGAACTTTACAACTGAAATGTCTTGGGTAGGACTCTAATATGAATTAGACTTATGAAGTCAGAATGGGTGGTCTTGGAGAAGTATTCAAATTAGTGAATTCTCGAAGAGATTGGCCAAATTACAAGGCAATGCAACAAAAAATGTGGCACCTAACATTTCACCTTGAAAAAGACATTGCATAGGGTTTCATCCAATTTTCTACACTTATTAGAATTTTTAAAATTACATGTCTTTCTAGGAGCTGACAGAATAACGCAAAAGTCGATTGACACGAATTGAAAAGAACTAAATATCGAAATCGCACTTGAAAACCACTTGACGCATAGGTTGAATGTTAGAAACTACCGGGAAACGACAACCGTTCAATGCAAAACTCGTTTTTAGGAAAGGAACAGAAATTTGAAGTTTGGTATTTTACTATTGTAGATCAAGATTCATTGGAAGAACCCATGAATGGGTACACGGGCGCCTCTCCCCTCTGCTCTTTTCAAATTCAATACATAAATAAGGGGTTGGAATACTTCAACCAAAAAATGCTTCCAGAATGCAAAAAATTCTACAAAAGAGCTACTCTCAAATGTGATCATGATCGAGAATGGGCATCAAGCAAACCAACGCCTTCTAACTGTTGAGAGGAACATTCGAGAGACAAGAACGTTGACTGAGAAGTTGGGAAGGCGATTGGTAAGAAGAGCTTCACATAGTGATCTCAAAAAACTATTTTCAGACAGAGCGGAAGCCAACTATTGCCGTCGTTTCTTCAGAAAATCTCTCTGGAGACGAATCCTCTTTGTCGCCACCAATGCCAAAGAAGTGGTGTAGTGGGCCCGAAGGAAACTGTTAATACTGTACTTTTTTTTTAATAGAAAGAAAGAGATAAATGAGTGTATATGAAATCTGAAAATCTTTGGTTTATCATGTGATAATGATATCACATCATCGCATCATCGTCATTATCAACACTTTTCTTTTGTTTTGTTATCGTATCCTTTTTTTGGTTTTCTAAATATGACGAAGGCGTTCCGTGGTTAAAAATATGAAAAGGAAAAAAAGAAAGAGATAGACATAGAATAGTTTAAAAACAAAAATATTTGAAAATTGATTTTCATTTTTTAGAGATTTTTTTGATGACACGCGAGATTATTTCAAGAAGATTGTATTCGGAGCATATTTCCTTTAAAGATCAATATTTTGGGACCGACTCATTTAGATAGAACACGACAAGTACTATAAAATGAAACACTTTGGAAAGCTGTATCTTGTCTATGAATAAAGTTGCAAGCCATATTTCTATGACCGTGGAGCTCAGATTGTTTTTTGCTTGTAACTCTGTTCATGCACAAAATCCAGCTTTGCAATCACCATAATTTTGTAGTACTCGTCAAGTTTCCTCATATGCATTTGGGATTGTGCAAAAATATTGATCTTACAGAATCTATGATAGAGCCACCGAAGGCCCACCAGGGCCCCGTTTGAAAGTATGAATCAACAGCCGATTTACCTTATTAGAAGAATAGTAAAAGATCCTTAGCAATCTAGAAGAGTGTCCTCCGTCGATGAGAAAGAAGTCCCGACAACTCGTTGCTCTGGTTCTTGTGTCGCTTCTGGAAACAAAAAATCAGTTGTTGAAAATTCAGGAAAAATTTAGCCCCTGCCACCCAGTACAGTTTCCCGAGGAGTTTCAAATTTCGGAAAGATAAACGCTTTCAGAAGCAGTTTATCTTTCCGAAAAATAAAAGAGATAAACTGCGGAAAGGTAAACTGCTTCCAGGAAAGATAAACTGCTTTCAAAGACAGAACAAAAACCCGAATCTTTTCAGTCAATACATTGGCACCCACATCGCGCGATCAAAAATTCACAAGAAACATTTGGCACCCGGCCAAAAAAACTAGAACAAAAAAGCGCGGTGCGTCGGATGAGACGACGCCCTATGAGAAGACCAAACACTCAAAAATCAGCAATCTTCTGATAGTGTGAAATCTGCAAAAGTTCGAACAGCCGAAATTCAATAGTCGGTCACTCCCCCTTTGGAATTAGACTATTTTTAGTTCCAGATGGTTTTCCAACTCTGTATATCATCCCTGCATTCCTCATTCAATAATTGTTTCTCTTCTCCTGTCTCTCAAATTTTGTCACATATTCTATAAAAACTAAAATACGAAAATTTGTAATAGAACCTACACCCACTAATACACTACTAACGTCTTCTTCTTCGTCTCAATACCAAACACAGTCGTGCCAATGGTTTTTATATACGATTTCTCGTTTTTGACCGATTGACGACGATTTAGATGAAGTGATGTCATATTTGGATGTGATGGTGAGAAAGGGACACTGACCAGATAGTGTGTCTAAAAACTTTTTTTGCGGTACCCCTGTTTTATTCTTTGACACTTTTCACTTTTTCTCCTCCTTTATGTTTCTTTGACTCCCCCTTTGCATCGTCCAGCACACAACCACAATAATACAGTCTGAAGGACATTCGAGAAAAAAAAATGGAAGCAAATGTTTAGGTGAATAATATGTAAAATTTTTTCAACTACTGTTTTTCATTTCGATAGATTTTTCGTTTGAAATCTAATCCTGATGAGTTATTCATCGTAAGAGCACAGACCAGGCGGGGTTGCCCAAAAGCGTACAGACGGCGGCTGAAGGTCTGAGAAATGGCTACAACTAAAAATATCAAAAAAATTATTTGTTTGATTTTTTGGAATTTCAAAAACATTTTACAGAGAAACATAGGTTTTTCTTATTATGGCTCGACTACTAATGATTGCTTTTATACTTCTTATCACAAAATTTTCCCCATTTGCTCTAAAACGCAAATTATAGCCAATTCTTGAAACTTCAGCCACCGTTTGCGCGCTCTTCAGCAAACCCGCATTACCTGTGAATGCGGCGGTTTTTCGAGCTACCGTTCCTGTTCGGTTTCCATTTGAAAAATCTCATCAGGAGTTAATTGTAAAAAAAGTTATCAACAACAAAACATTAGCCCTATTTTTTTCTAGCCCGTGAGGTTATTTTTTAACCCCTAATTTGGCTACTTTCTACTGAACATCTCTATTGTTCGACAGATTATAATACCTTCCATGAAATTAGATCTCCATTTAAACGTCCTTTTACAAAACAGTTGGTCTAAAAACTATTTATTCATGTATATTTTCAGGTTGTAGACAAGTTAGTTCGATATGAACAACAATGGATTTTATAATCCTTGTTAGGCATATTTCGATTTTCCCTTTATTGTTTACTAAATTCTTACTGCATGGAATAACAGAAAGGAATCAATGTCAGAAACATATGACAAGAACGTTTTGAAACTAACATCCCAAAAAAAAGTTTCAAAATAAATCTAGAACATGAGAGAGAGAGAGAGAGAGAGAGAGAGAGAGAGAGAGAACCTAATCAGACAGTTTATCTGTCAACTGACTTATTTTTTCCCAAAATGAAATACGCACACTTTCAAAAGTCAAGTCTCCTTCAATTTCTCTTCCCTCTTGTCTCTTTTAATTGTACATCAAAATATCTGTGATACTGTATCATTTGTTTTCCGCTGTCTCTGTCTCTCTTTCACTATTTTAACATTATATTCTATTTCTATAGTTGGTGAAGGATAGTTGACACGGCGTCATCATCTTCTTTTTCTTCTTCATTGAAACGTCTCTCTTCCATTCTTTGTACGTCTTCTTATTTTTCTTCTTCTTCTTCTTTTCCATTCTTCTCCTTTTTGATAAAGACAATTGATTTTGACACTTTTGCTTTGTATCTCTTTTTGATCCATTGTTTCAGAGAAACCCTTTTTTGTAACTTTCAGAGAACATATTGATTGCCACTACAACAAAAGAAACAGAAGAATACACTGAAAGTATACTGTATGACTCGGAGTGAGTTCCTCAGACCATAACAACATCCAAAAGATTCTTCCAGAACCACCAAACTGTATTGTTCCTGTTTCGAAAAATGGAGTGGTGCTGGAACATCACGAGAGTGCCGGAACGTCAATGTGTTCATCAGCTGACAACACAGTCACAAAATTTACGGATAAAACGAAACGGAAGAGGTTCGAGAAAGAGGAAAAAGATACGGGTATGACGATAATGGATCATATAAGAACTTCGTTTGTGGAGCACACACTGACCGTAGATCAGATAAGGGTGAGTTTGGTTTCTACTGTGAAAGTCTGTAAAATCCTTCTGCTGATTATGGACTAACATTTCCAAACGATCATCTTAAAGTGCCTGTAGCAGTTGTTGAACTTTTCTAAATCAGCTTACTTAACAGAAAATTAGCCTCTAACTTTGTAGTTCACAATATTGACTTCTCCCAACTGTAAACAAGTGATGTTCATATTTAAAATATAGTAATATACGAAGCAAACTTTACAACTTCCCACAGTATTCTGAATCATGTGTATTACTAATTAAATACATTTTAGGATCTCTACCCAGACTCCTACGTCTTTCCTCAACATGCTGAGAGAAGTGACGGATTGCACAGCGATGAAGCTAAGAAACGCTTAAAAGACGGTGGTCTGAACCATATCAAAACCAAAACCGATCCGAGTTTATCTCGATTTTTTCTCGACCAGTTCCACTTCAAATTCTGGATCCTTCTGATCGGAGCCGCCATTCTTTCTGTGATGACCTATTTCATTCATATGGCACGGGGATACAATGAGCCCCTGAACATGTATTGTGCGATTATCCTGATTGCTGTTGTAATATTTATGTGTATTTTATCTTATTGGCAACAAGCCAAGGCCAAAAAAGTGAGTCATTGGTTTTTGGGCTTTTGAACGACAAACGACTTGCAGGTATTGCAAGAGAATCGAGATATGATGCCAGCGATGTCATATGTGATTCGTGATTGTGAGGAACAGGAAATCAGAGCTGATGAGGTGGTGGTCGGAGATCTCGTGTACTTGAGGTATCAAGCTATTTAGGTTCTATAACTGAAAAGTGATTTTCTTCAGAGCTGGCTATAAAATCCCAGCAGACATGCGAATCCTACAAGCCAACTGCCTTATGATTGAAAGTGATATAACTGGGGATCGAATGGCTCGAGAGTTCAAAGCGGATCCAGTTCCAATTGGTTCTTCGGTGTTCGACTCTTGCAACGTAGCATTCATGGGATCCTATTGTACAGAAGGGGAAGGAATTGGAATTGTTATCCGAACTGGAAAGTTCACAGTAAGCCGTTTAGTTACAGGTTTTATAAAACGATGCTATATGTTTTAGGCTATGGGTGTTCTTGCCGAGCAACATCATCACATTCCACCACCATCGGGCCGTCTCCAAACTGAACTTCAGAACTTTTCCACTTTCATTTCAATCGTTGCGATTTCAATGGCTACTGGAGTATTCTTCATTGGGTGCTTTGTTGCTAGATTCGAGAACGTTCTAGACCATTTTATTGTTGGCTTCGTAGTAATTATCGTAGCAAACGTTCCCCAGGGACTTCCTGCTACTGTAATGTCACAGTTAAGAATCATTGCCAGGAGGATGGCACAGAAGAATATTTTGATAAAGAAGTTGGAGCTGATTGGTAAGCTTTTGATAAAGATAAGGATTTATAAGAAGAACTTCTACAGATGAACTTGGAGCAGCTACCGTAATCTGTGCAGACAAGTCAGGAACGCTTACAATGAACAAAATGGTTGTCACAGATCTTTGGTTCAATTCTCGTCTTCTAACTGGTTCAGCAGTGGACATGAAGCATCCACATCTTCGTGCTATGAAAACATCAATGAAGAGCCCGGGAAGATTAGAAGAACCACTTCCCGAAATATTGACAGTAATGTCTGTTTGTAATAATGGACAGTTTGAACATGTTCGAAGAGCAATGAGACGCGTTTCAACGATGAGAGCTATGCAGAAAAGTGCGTCCGAAGCAATGTTAAGTGCTCAACTGAAGAAGAAATTTACAATTGTGTAATTCTCTACATTTCAATTACATGCTTTCTAATTCTTTGTCTTTAGAGATACAAGAACCGGACAAATATCAGAGGCGGGAGGACAGAATAGAGAACGAACGAATCAAATATCTCAGTCGGCTGCCGGAGAGCCCGGAAAGAAAGGAGCCAAGGCGAAGAAAAATGATATTTTTGGAGTTCCAAGTGACGTAGCATTGATACAATATGTAGAACTGAGCGCTAGTGTAGAAGGAATTAGGCAGAGATATCAGGTTAGATAGACAACTAGATCCGAGAATTCTAAAGTTTCAATTCCAGACTGTATGTGAAGTACCATTTAACTCAACCAGGAGATGTCAAGTAGTGGTAGCCAAATGTTTAGCGAGTGACTTCCCCGACACAGCAGAAGCAGTTGAGAATCCAGGAGAGGTGAGTGGACTCGTTCATACTTGTAAACGGGGCCCTGGCGGACCTTCGCCGGATCTGTCATAGTTCCTTTTAGAATCAATATTTTTTGGACCCACTAAACTCTTAATGATACAACTGGACAAATACTACAAATTGATATTCATTGAAAAACTGTAACATGTATATGAACAGAGTTACAATCCAAAAACCGTTTGAGCTACGCGACATTGGGCTGCCAGGGCCCCGTTTACAACTGAGGATTCGTTACAGAAGTAATGTTGCATTGCAGGGGCAATCTCGATTTATGATTTTCACTAAAGGAGCTCCAGAAGTGATTCTAGGAAAATGTTCAAAAGTGAGGCATCATCATGAACTTCGAACTATTGATGATACCTATAGGAAGGAGTGTCAGGTTGGGACAGTTTCAGGTTATGCTCATAAATGTATAAAAGACAATTTTAGTCAGCATGGGAGATGCTGGGAAATGAAGGCCGACGAGTCATTGCTTTCGCTCAAAAAAGTTTCAATGCAGACGAGAATCAAAGATTTAATGGACAAGAATACAACGGAGAGTTGGTTTTTCTTGGAATGGCGGCTATTATGGATCCACCAAGACCTGAAACTGCAGCAGCTATTGAACAGTGTAAAGTGGCAGGAGTCAAAGTGTTCATGATCACCGGGGATCATCCAACTACCGCTACGGCAATTGCAAGGCAGATTGGACTGATTGGACATAGCAGTTCGGTATGTTTTTGTAAGATTGAATACATTACAATCAATCCATGTAGGACCATATGAAAATCTTGAAATATTTTTCATTAAAAACTTTATAAAATGTTGAGTACTGACGGCTTATGGGACGGATATTGGCCAGGTTCTGGTCGGAACTGGCCCAAAAACGGCTGTATAGCGGGTCATGGCCAGATTTCGGAGAAAGTTGAATGCTGAAATGTTACTAGGCCTCGAAAACTTTGATTTTAATGGAAGTGAAAACCAAGACCCGGTTTTCAGTCTCTCAACCACTATTTCGAAATCTTCTTCCATTCCAGGCCGATGTTGAAAAGCAACGAAACTCATGGGCTGTAGTTACCGGTGATCAATTGAAGGCATACAAAAAACAGGATTGGGATTTGCTTCTCAATAATCGTAATATAGTATTTGCAAGGTACTCCTACTAGTACATGGAATGTTTTTAGAAATATAAAATTCTAGAACCAACACTGAGCAGAAACTAGAAATCGTTCAAGAAGTACAACGGAGAGGAGAGACAGTAGCAGTAACTGGAGGAGGTGTGGATGATGCTCCAGCCCTGGCTCATGCTAATGTTGGAATTGCGATGGGACAAACTGGTAAGAGTCTATAGAACTGAAAGAAACACACAACGACACGTTTTCTAGGTAGTGACATAGCGAAGCAAACTGCCGATATTGTTCTTCTAGACGATAATTTTGCCTCGATTGTGATGGGCATTGAGGAGGGAAGACTTCTATTCGACAACCTGAGGTTTCTAGTTTCAAAGATTTACTTATCAGTCATGATCGAATTTCAGACTATCCTTAGCTTATACCTTTGCTCACTTATGGCCAGAAGTATTCCCTATCATGATGTCATTTATGCTTGGTCTTCCCCATGGACTCTCTCCTCTACAGATTCTATCAGTTGACCTGGCTTCTGAAATGCCACCTGCCATCTCCCTAGCCTATGAACAACCTGAAAATGATATAATGCATACTCCACCAAGATCTAGAACAGCAAGACTTTTGTCCAAAAGCCTTCTTGTTTATGCCTACATCCTCGCGGGCTTTGGAATAACCATTGGATGTATCGCAGCGTATTTCAGTGTCTATTGGTGAGTATTATTACTGTAAGCGTATTACTTTATGATATATTACTTTATGATTTCAGCTACCATAACATTCCCATCAGTGACATTTTGTTCACTGCCGAACATCATTGGAAAATCGGCGCCAAGAATTTCACAACTAGTAATGGACTGACTTTTGATGAGCAGCAACAGTTGTTTATCAAAGGACAGGCGGCAGCAGCATGGCAAATCACTTTGGTTATGTCTCAAGTCTTCCATTTGTACAATTGCACCACGAGAAGAGTTTCCGTTTTCCGACATGGTCTCACTAATATTGTCAGCGTTTTTGCGGTTATCATTGAGGTAACTTTTATCAATAATCATCTATAGAAACCCCTCCCTCGTTGCCCCGATTGATGGAGAAGGAAAAATTAGGGCGCCAAAGAGAATAGTTTCTAACAGTTGAATTATTCGCAGGTTCTCCTTCTGTTCATGTTCGTCTACACTCCCGTCTTCCAATACATTATGGATATCCATACTCCACCTGCCCATGTCTGGGCAATTGCTCCAATCGTCGGTCTCTATTTGTTGGCTTTCAACGAGATGCGTAAATATTTTATTCGAAACTTCCCCAAGAACAAGTTGGTTCGTTTAATTAAATGGTGATTTTTTCGAATTGTTTAATTGTACATAAAAAGACTATTTTGCTATATTTCCCATGTTTGCATCCCGATTCCAATCCCACGTTTCCCCATTATTACAGGTTAATTTTTTCTCTTGCAAGAATTTTATCTTCGGTTTCGTTTTTTTTTATTTTGTGCTAAACATTTGTAGCTCATAAAAACTGATTTATTATGTCTGAAAAACAAGAAAACAATTAATCGAACCTAAATATCCACTACTAAGACGACTCATCCCTCAAACAGCTTTTGTTTTGATTGTCAGCCCGTGCATACCTTTGATTTGTTCGCTGAGAATCGAGGTGACAATTTTGTGTTGAGCAACTTTCGATTTTCCTTGGAAACTTGATGCTTCAACGACGACGTCGTACATGGATCCACAGCCGTCTGAATCGCAATAAATTATATGGAAAAACTAAGTTTTTGAAGAAAACTCACTGGACACATCGTGTACCTCAACTCGAGAGCAACCCTGAATACCCTCGTTGAGCAGTTTGCTCATTTTTTGCTCTGCCTCCGACATCTGGTGGTCACCGCCACAGCACGCCGAGTGACGACGCACAGCTGATGTGATAAGGGACGATCGGAGCCTGGTGGCAAGTCGAAGCATCTGGATTTTAGAAAATAGGTCAAAAACTGTCTAAATGCAATGGAAAATTGTCAGCGTCAGTCGAACAATAGTTCGATTCCGATATTCAGATCAGTATTGTAGAACGGAGTTTTGATCTACAAGGAGGCGTGGATTTTCGCAATCAAGTTCGTATTTTTTAGTGAAAAATTGAGTCTAGAGATAAAAGCGATAATATTTCTACCGAAAAATCTTTAATTAGGTACAGGAAATCTCATAAAAGTTACAGAAATCCATTCCGTTCAATACAGTATCGGATTAGCCCGCGCTGCCCACGAGATTTTATGTGCTAGTTTTTTAGCTGAACAATACGACACAGGTTTCGATCATAAAAACTTTCAAAGTTCCCGGAAAAAAATAGAGAATCTGATGTCAATAACAGTAGATCTTTCAATTCTCTGATGTTTTAACTTCTGACTTTATTCACAGTTACATACATAATTGCACAACAGGTAGAGAAACCGCGTAAAAATCAAGCATTTTGAAAAAATGAAAACATTGGGGTTAATAAATTTCTTTAAAAGATGGTCATCGGGTCCTTGTCGACGCTGTCTTCTCCTCTCGATAATCACTGACGTATCCTAGACTCGAACTATCTTCACTGGCCGATGTTTCTACTCGCTTCACAGTGTCTTCTGACGTCTTCGCATGTTCAGAAGGCAGTTTTGGCAATCGTTCTTTACTCGTATTCAATCCGCAGTGCTTTTTAAGTGACCATTGCATTGCCCAAATGGATAGGGGGCGCATATAACCAATTGCACGGTAGAATCTGAAATACAATATTTTTAAATTTTCACTTTTCCTTATCCTTACTTTGATTCATAAAGTGCTTCCGGTGTCTGATATTGTAACCCAGTTTGCTCGAAACACGTCAAATAGCTTCCTGATGCTGTATGGAATGCCTTCTCGACTTCTCCTTGTTGAATAAGAAGCGAAGCAACCGCGTATGTAACGCCCGTCCACATCTCATCAGCTTGAATATATTCTCGATCTACGACTCCAGATGGTTTCATACCGTTCACGGCTCCCATTTGACCATTACCAAATTGGCAAACGTTCAGACGATAGATAGTGTCAAGTGCAGACCGTACCATATGACTTGGCAAAAGATCATCAGCCATTTCAGGGGAGACTGATTGGAGGAACCAATATCCACAGAGTTGATCTGCCATAACAGTTTCTCGACTTCTGGATCTTTCACAGAAACGAAAATAGGTTCCTGTCCAGAGAACATCCACAAACACTTTTTTCGCCTTGTTCAGAGTTTCAAGGAATAGTTTTTTAGTTTCTCCATCTTCTAATAGCCCTGCCATTTCAATGGATACTCTCAAAGAGGCTAACCAAAGAGATCCACAATACGCACTAACTCCTTCCATCTGCCACGCATCATAAGTTTGATCTGCCTTTCCAAAGTTCTCAATCATTCCATCTCCATTTTGATCCCAATTAGCCAATGCCTCCAACATGATCATCTTGACAGCTGGCCACGTGTGATGCAAGAATTCCTGATGCTCCTCAGAGAGTACAACGTAGTCTCGCCACGAAGTTAACACATACTTCATGTTGAGATCCTTCCATTTTCCAGTGTCATGCATAACATATGCGTTTGTAGCAATCCACGGCTCATCGGCTGGGTTTCCAAGATCGTGAGGGACGCGAGAAGCAGTTTTCACATTTGCCCAATCGCCTTCCATATGGAATCGGGTGGGTTTTTCGATAGAGTGGTAAACCTGGTCGGCTGTAAATGATATAAATATTTGTATAGAACTTCAATGGAAAAACTTACTGAATTCAGATTGGACTGTGAGCTCCAGCTCAGGCCACAGCTCAGCCAGAGCATAGGAAGCATAAAAGTGGACGTCATAGGTATTGACCATTCGGTATTCCCAAGCTGAAAACTGAAATATTAGGCTGAAGAAACTTCAACTTGAAGACCAGAAAAGAACAATTAAAAAAGATAAACTTACATTCCAGATACCCGAATCTTCCAATATTCTTCATTTTCTCCTTGGTGTAATTACTCAAATGTGCCTCATGATCCGCCCAATTTTCATCAAACTCAAACCAAACTGTTCCTCCATCAGTAATGAAATAAAGTTCATTGAAAATCGCAGACTTGTACCAATCTGGTAACTTGTCATGGGTTAGAATAGGTGACTGCCATTTCTCGATCTCCTCTTCCCATTTGTGTCGTAGTCTCAACGCACGAACACAGAGAGAATCTGCAGCACTTCCAGCTTCACTGGCTTCGAAGAATCTGGTGTACCTTCTGTGATAACTGCGCCCAGTGGATCCGAAATGTACTTTTGGCATATCCCAACTCAACGCGTAGTCATGCGTTTTAGACGATAATGGGGGAAGAGTGAATCGATTGCTGACGGCTACAGCCATCTCGCGAGCGTTGATAGCGCATTCTTCCTCCTGAAAAACAATCATTGATAGATTAATGATCTATTGATAGAACTCACCAAGCTGGGAACATCTCCGGTTTGCATTAAATGATTCCAAAGTGCTCCTCCACTTTTCGATGGATCGAATCTCTCACAAACCGATAGCACACTATCCTTGCTGTGTGTTGAAGCCAATCCGTAGGTGCATGACATTCCGGAGATTCTATGATAGAGGCTAACTCCAGTGACCTGTTCTGCAGAATCTTCTGGAGTCTCAAACATCACCGCAGAACACTCGGCTTCTCGTTCCCATCTTCTATTTCCAGTTCCGTTGCGGAATGTGAAGGCTACCGAAACATCGTATTCTCTGTCGTTTGTAGTGTTCTCGACATCGATCAGAAAAAGGCAAACAGGATAGGTGGTATCTTCATAATTGTTAGGAAGCACTGGAGACACTTGTCTAATAACCACAGTCAATCCCAAGTCTGGTATTCTGAATGTGGTCCACGATCTTGGGAACAATCCTCTGTAGTGCACATTCTTTTTTGGGAATCCAAAATCCCACGTGGACAGTTGTCCAGACGATCGGTGAACATCGGCGGCGGAGAGCACTTTTTGATAGATACATCTGTCATTTTCCCGCACGGAGAGAATAAATTGGTCAGCGGCAACGACGTCAACTTTGTGTTCTACGAGGCCCGGACGAAGACTGAATTTGCAGAATCCTCCGCGAAAATCTCTTCCGATCGCTCCACATCCAATTCCTCCACAGGGAACTCCTAAAAATTGGATTCTGATGTAATTAAATAGCCAATTAAAGAATAATTATGGGTTTCATGAACCTACCATAGTATGGTTTATGCTTTAATGGTTGGAAAGTATTAATAAATAGCTTCTCCTTGTCAAAAGTGTGTTTCATCCAGTACATAAAGTAACGACGAACAAATGGCAGAGCTTCGTAGATCTATAAAAAATTCTAGAGTCTAGATTCTTAGAGACCTTTTGAGTAAATAACTAAATACCTGATATGGAGTTGGTCTATTAAAAGGGACCCTCTTTTCTTTTGGTTTTCGATCTCCACGTGCTTTCCATCCAGGACCTGACATTGTTGTCGATGGCAACCAATCGTCTGCCACGTCATCTGCTGACATCTTTTTGCTATTACGACGTCGTCGCATACTCTGAAGAAATAAAGAAACTTGACGATGTTTTTTAAAATCAATTTCTAGGTATTGATAAGGATATTTTCTATGATGATTCATCAATTTCTCACCGAGCAACATCCGACTCTCATTTTTTCCGGGAAACAATACTTTTAAAAATAGAATAAAAAGGAATATTCTGAGTGTTAGCAGGAGTTAGTTGGGGAGGTAGTGAATGGTGCGATTCTCTTATCAGTATGAAATGTTGGGAGAAATTTATCGCCGTCGCATAGTTAGCTGTGTTATCAGCCAAATAGAATGAACTTTGAAAATCTGGCGGTTTTTTGCAGAAACTGTGAGTTGGGTTCCCTGCTAGTGACGTGGTGTTTCTTTTGACCTCCAAAAGTTTCTTTGGACAACCTCGAAGCGCACTTTCCCGTTCAAAAGGGAGCAAGTGAGCGCATGGAAAACGAGGGACAAGCGCTTTTTTGTTTACAAGAAGAAGAGAAGGGGAGGAGAAAAATTGATTTTTTTTCTTTTTTTTTTTTGCTTTCTGCATTGAAATTTTTTTTTGAAATTATTGTAGGAGAAGACTACAAAAATCAGGGATGCAGATACATTTTTTTGAACCTTGTGTGATTCAACGAAAAACAGGAACTATAGAAATTGGAGTAGGCGACAAAAGATATAGGAGACAAGAGGAACAAAACAGGAGTTGAATTCTCCTAAGGGGGATCAGAATCGTCGGCGCTGTTTTGTACCCAGGCTCAGTTCCTGACCATTTCTGGCCACTTCTGGAAGATTCTGGAATAGTTTTTGAATTTCCTCTGATACTGAAAGCTACGAAAAATTAGCGGTTTTTTGGCGATTTTCCAAAAAACCAAATATACTTTTTTCTTCGATTTTTCGCAAAATTTTTAGACCTTTTTAGGTTCTTCATCTATTTTTGGAGATTCTTTTTCGATTTCTCCGATTTTTTTTGTCTGAAATTCGATGGAACGGTGTTCGGGAAGATTATTGTGGGTTACCGTAAAGTTTTCGATTTTGTAGTTTTTTTTCGCGAAACTTTGTCTGCATTTTGACGTGATTTTGTTCGCAAAAAACTACAAACTACAAAACTGAAGGTTTTCTACAGTAATCTACAGTAATCTTCACGAACACCGTTCCATCAAATTTCAGACAAGAAAACGGGAAAATCGGAGAAGAACCTTTGAAAATAGCTGAAAAACTTGTAAAGGTCTAAACATTTTGCAAAGTATCAAGGTTTAAAAATTCGAAAAAACAAATGAAAAAGCTAATTTTCGTCTTTTTTCAAAGCAATTGAAAAATCCAGAAGCTAAATCCAAAGTTTCTTCATGTTTCAACTAGAAAAGGTGATATGACGGAAAGAGATGACTCAACAAAAGCAATCATACAGCTGATATATCGAGGTCACGAAGTGATAAGCGAATGAAAAAAAGAATTTCTTTTTTCTGCTCTCTCTCTTTGCCTCAATGTGTGACATTCTAAAGTTAAACTGGCACAGACTACAAGTAACACACCTGGCAACTGTGTCAACAATGGGAAGGATGTTTGCTATGAATGAGACTTTCGGGCAAACCTCGAATCGCACCTATTTTTAGTTTGACTACATTTCTATAAGAAAAGTTACCTTAAAAGAGCTCTGGTTAATTTTATTATGTTCCAGTAATCTTGGACACCGGATGAGAGAGAACCTAAATATGGACTAATTGACTTTGGCTTCATAAAATTTCAGATCTTCAGTATCCAATCTGTTAATTAACAGTGTATTTTTGCATTTCCCCCAACAGGAAGCCCGATATTGAAATTTTTATTAAATAGAAGAAAGCTAATTGAAGTTCAATAATTGGATAAGAAAAAGTAGTCTAATTTGAATGTTGTTTTTCGGGTTACAATATAAATTTTTTGGAGGAAGCAATAATTAGGAAAAGTGGCTTTTTTTTTTGGTAGAGAGAATTGTTTTGTGCGCCGACTCACATTATTCTAGTATTTATACACACACACACAAGAAAGCGAGGGATGGATGGAGAAAAGTTATCACAGTGACCCCAAAAACGAAACAAAAAAACTAGAGAAGAATCACAACCATTACATTATTTTCACAATCAGAAAGGAACTGTTATAAATATACCGAAAAAAATTGTTTAAAATGAAATAAATTACATAAAACAAAACACATCAAGAAGTATTATTTATGGCGAATTTTTACAATCCCGGGAACTCATTGACGGATCCTTCGCCAGTTCTCTCGCCTCCGTTCACAATATAGGAGATTCTCGTTTTCATTCGGGCCTAAAGTTTCAGTTTTATTTTCATTAGAGATACCTTAAGAATACTTACAGTTGTATTCGGAACCTTTCTAATAATCGTCATGAATTGAGTGGAGTGCTCATTTGGTTGAATATTCGGACTGGATGGTGGTTCCAGTGCAATATCAAATGCTTTTGTGACAGCTGCCAAGAAATTGAAATTCGTGAAAGTGAATGATGAATTGTTGAAAGCTGTCATTTTGAGTCTAGCTCTTTCATTGTTCCATCCACTAATAACTTGAATTTGGACTTCGACTCCATTCGCATTGATGACAATTACTGGTTGGAAAGTGGGCTCTCTGAAAATCAAGAATATCAGAATGCTGGTGACAGAAATCTTGAAACATACTTGGCTGCAGGAGTTCCTATACCAAAATCAATATCACTATTCGGAGCTGGTGTGGAGTCTCCGAAGATGTCCAAAATGTTTGAATTGCTTTGTTGAGCAGCAGGAGCATTTCCCCCTCCTCCCAATAGATCCTCATTGTAATCGGAGCCTCCTAGGTTCAAGTCTCCCAGAAGATCTCCATTGGTAACTGGAACGTCAGGGGATGAGGCTGAGAAACCGTCATCTTCTGCCATAGACGGAGCTGCTGCATTCAATGAGTTGTGAGTGATCATCGGCATCCTTTCGAGCAGCCCATCTCTCAGCTCTCCCAGATTCATGATGACATTGAACTCAACAGAACGCTGTTGCAACTCTAATTGGATATGTGCTTGATTCATTCGAACCAGAGCCGAAATTCGTTCTTCTGATGAGTGGAATCTGGTGGCAAGTTTCGCCAATGCTGTCACGGCGTAGCATTTGGTCATCAATGATGTCAAAGCGGATGGAAGAACTGACTCGAAAACACTGATAACGTCAGCTTCCGAAATTGGGGTACTGTCGACGTCGGTCGGTTGGAGGAGAAGGTCTCCAAACTCTCCGATGGTCCAGAAAGCGACTTGAAGGAGGGGTTGAGCGTTGATGGCATCACGTTGGGCAGCATGGTAGAGTTGGGAGACTGCGTAGCTTTGAAGTTGTTCATTGGCAGAAATCATTTGAATCATGCATGAAACCACCTCATCTGGCACATATTTTCCAGCCAATCTCAGAACTGTGATCATTGTATCCAAATGCCACTCGTGGTTTGGTGAGAATCTCTCAGTTGCAATATACATCCGTGAAGCGCATTCAGACTTGAACTCAGCATCGGCGGTTTCGAGGAAAATCAGTACTTCCTTGGTCATGATGGCAATATTGGTACGGTTCATTAATGCGAAGCACAGCTCCATTGCACGTTTTCTGATAGAGATGTCTGGATCCTTGAGACACTCCACGACAACGTTACGATGACGTTGGACAGCCTGGAACTTTGAAAAGCGGTTAGACAAACACAATTAATGTTTTACAAACCTGATAATCGACATGAACAGTCTTCAGAAGAGTGTTCAATGCAACGTATCGGATATTCTTATCGGTATTCAACAAGAACCGTCCCAAAATGTTAACAGCCAAGATACGAAGACCACTTTCACTCTTTATCTCCATAATCGTGAGAACCGTCTCATAAAGAATAGCATTTCCCACATTTTTCGCAGTCTCAGTGTTGGTCGCAACTTGAGCCAAAATGTCATTCATCTCTTCGGTAACACGCACATCATCCTTTCCCAAAACTCTCAGCAATCTCAATATTTTCACTTGAAGGAACGGATCAGAAATTCCAGTCACATCGTGCTCCGGTGAATATCCACTCATAAGAAGATTTTTGAGAATTCGAACGAGGTTGGGCACCAGCTTCTTGAAATGATTGAGTACATCCGGACTGCGTTCACACATTTCGGTGACCAAAGTGGTGGCACCCATCAAAACTCCGTGATTTTTCTCTCCAAGAAGAGAGCGGGTGCATGGAATGAAAACTTCCATGAGCTCTGGAACTTTTCTCACAATTCGGAATGCGCAGAGAGCTGCCTTCTTCTTTAGGTACGCGTTGTTTTGTTTGATAATCTTTTCGACCTCATTTGCAAGATCACGACACATTTCAGCAGAGCAAATCGAGCCAAGAGTGCACAGAGCAAGTCCGGACACAAATTGTGTGGAGCAGGTTAGATCACTAAATTTTTTAATATTGGAAAAAATAAAATATTTTTGAAGCACTCACTTTTTCAGCGAATTTGTCACCAATAAATGAACTTCCGAGCGCTCGTCCAGCAAAAGCATAGCTCCTAAGTAACCGATTCTTTTATCGGTAAAACGAGGATGTGCCACCAATTTCATGCATTCCATCTGAATAAGTTTTGTTGTAAACTTTCTCTAACTTGTCAACAAACCTGTCCAAAATGAGCTGGGTAGCCGAGCATGTGAATGTAGAGAAGCTTAGCGATGTTCCTACACTTCCAAGGAGAGTCATCATCACGAAAACTCTCTCGTATATTCGCACTTTCTCTATCCACCACAGCACGCTCTTCAGCCATAGTCCGAGCTGCTCGAACTTGTCGAATCAGGTCTCGGAGACGCATTGGGGTACCCAAAGTTCTGGAAAACGTTCTGACTTTGGTTAAACAAATAATTCATGTTAGACAAACCTTCCAATTTTCGACTTGTACTCATCGATCTTCTCGATGGCCAGCTCAACAGCCGTCGCCATCTTGAGCCCTGTAAAACTTTATTCGATGGTTTCAATGCTACGTGGAGGTGTAAACGATCGAGATATTCAGCTGGTCTTACAGTTTACTAGGGATATAAATAAACTAAAAATATCTAAATTGAGCTTCTTGGACGAAAGAAAAATTTCAGTCTGATATTTTTCATTAAAATGCCGAATTTCATCGATTTTTCAAGGAGAGAAAAAGCGCAATCCAGCAACGCTCTCACCGACAAAGTCCGCAATCGGGCGGAGAATCACGCGCTGTGGTACCGAATTCCTCACCGTAGTGCGCGAATTTTTTGCGGAAACTTCAAAGATTTTTTATTTTTTTTTCTTGCAGAAAAGGAATTGAAGGAAAACAAGAAAAATTTATAATTTCAGATGAGCGCAGAAGAATCTTCTCAAGAACAGATGTCGTTGGGCTCAGAACCTCCAGAAAAGGAGCCATTAGAAGAGGTAGATGCGGAGGGAGCCACTCCGAAAGTGACGCTTCGCGCAGAAAGAAGTGGAATAGGATCTCTTTTGTCTAGTGTAAGTACATTTTGAAAAATTGTTCAGGAAAAATATTTCAGCTTCGTGGTGATCATCTAGCAGCGGAAATCAGAAGATTATCGACTTCTCCGAAAAGTGGGAAGGAAGAAGATGAAGAGGAGGTTCCGGAGCGACCGTTGAATCGAAAAGAGAAACGACGACTTCAAAGACTCCAGGAAGAGCAAAATCCAGGTGTCGAAGCGAAGAAAAAGGTTTCAGAGGTTCTAAAACCCGCGGATCTGCCCAAAGAATTGAGACAACTTTTCAGGTATTGTTCAAAAACTGATGTATTATTTATTCAATTCAAATTTTTAGTGACACCAAATCATTTGACTTTTACGAAGCATCATTTGGATATGAGGTCACTCGAAGGAACAATTTTGTGCATTTTGTGCTCCAAAGTTACCAAGGAACGCATGCTATTGCTGCCTCGCAGGATCGAGTTCTGAGAATGTATTCGATGGAAAGTTATGGAGTTTTATGGAAGAAGAATACGGGCGCTTTGATATTAGACTCGTGTTGGGATCCGTCTGGAAAAGGAGTTTTCTCTTCATCATATCGCCGACCGATTCAATTTTTTGATGCGGATTCAGGAGATATTATAAAATCCTACAGTGGGAAGGACGCAGGGGTAAGGAACTCAAAATTTAAAACCAATTGATTCGTTTGTTTTAGGACAATATAAAAGAAGCGATGTGTGTCGGACAAATGGGGAACAACATACTCATTGGAGCATATAAGAACCATTTTCAAGTCTGGGATGTTGAGACATCTGGAGATGCGCTCAGTCGAATTTCCTACATGGACAAAAGTTGTGAGTTCATATAAAAGTTCATCATTAACTCCAATTTTTAATTATAAAAACAAATTAATTTCAGTCAATACTGGAATCATTGGAGTCGCAATGTCCATAGCTGCCCATCCGACAATGCCAGATTTATTCGGCACCGCTGGGAGTAGTCATCTCCTTGGAATCTATTCGATTAACTGGGCAAATGCGGTTTCGACGATAGAGGGATCATTGAAAGGATACACAAATGTACACTTTTCACCAGATGGATTGAAGATGTATGCGTCGGAAAGAAGTGGTGACATCCATTGTTTCGATACCCGTATGAACATGATGACTCAAATTCTAAAACGAAATTTCGTGACCGCCCATCGCTCTCGTTTTGATATCGACGCCACAGGACGCCTTCTCATCTCTGGCACGTCTTCTGGTGATGTGGTTGTCTATGATTTACATGACTTCCGAGAAGAAATCGAGCCGGTGTTCACCTGCCACGTGGGGTCTCGGTGTGTACCGTGTGTTAGTCTACAAGGAAACCGGATTGCATTAAGTACTGGACAACGAGTGTTTCCAGATGATCCGTTGTTGAAAGAGGATGACGACAGTGGTGACGTGGAAATGGTGGATACATTAGCGACAGGGAATTCGGTGCAGACCTGGGAGATGGTATGATAATTCTTATAAGACTTTGTTGTTGTCGTTAATGTTGTTGATTGACTTTGAACACTTTGTATAGAATAAAAATCATTTACAAATATTTAAAATAAAAAAATACACTCAAGAATACATATCTCGTGATGAGGTTCCGATCTGATGGAGTGGTATTGGTGGCATGATTCCCGTCGCGTCGTGATGGACGAATCGGCTGGTTGCCGGAGGAGATAGTCTGAAACATTTTTTAACTCTGCAAAACTAGAGTGAGGGACCCTTGGTCTATTTTTTTATGTCAAAAATAATTCACTAACTCAGAATCAAACTGTGGCTTGTGCATTGGCTTTTGCTGTCGGTACGGTTGTCGTTGTCGATGCTTAGTGTCGCTTTTTCGTTTCGACTTTTTCTTTTTATCTAATTTCGTTTTGAACAGATACAGGAAGAGGATACAGATGAACAGGAATATCGCACCACAGAAGATCGCGGCAACCACTATCGTTTGATCGGCGGACTTCTCTTTTAATGAGCCTAAATTGTTTTGAAGATTAAAAAAGCTTTGTTTTTTCGAAGGTAGTTCCAAGCCAAGAGTAATTAGTTTAAAGCTCACACAAAGTAAAACGGCAACAAGAATCACAAGCAAGTTATTCCTATTATGTAGCCAACCTGACGAAGTAGACATGAATTTAGCACTGTAGAAGGACCTGGTCGGCTGATTTTGACCTGTGCAAATTTAAAGCTGTCACACAAAGCCACACAATAACTCATATTAAAGATTAGAAAGAAAACTCACAATGCTGCTCATCGGTATCATCTTGTACTCCATATCCACAATTATCCAATCCATTACATCTCAGTTTAGCATCAATGCATAGTTTTGAGTAGGTGCACAGGTAAAGAGAGTCTGATTTGCAGACACTTTCATCTTTTCCACTGAGATTTTTGACTTCTGTCCATGAGAGATTGAATCCTTTTAAACCGTTTACTTTGTCAGGTGCTGTTAGGAAGCTGATTCTCACAGAATTACTTGGAGATAGATAAGCCTCAAAGAACTCTCTTTTAGTACCACAATACTCCATTCTAGGTGCTCCTTCCACTCGAATCACCGCCTTTTGGCAACTGGCACTATCTGATGTCATCTCTCCTTCAACATCAATTGCTTCCATTTTCAATAACACTTGATATCCTTCCTTTACATTGATCTGCCAATCACAGTGAACATCTTTATTGTATTTGACTGGATAGTTGGGGGAGATAATCAATCCATTTGGTTTATCTGCCGTTGCGTTGATTACAGAACCACATCGATATGCACCTCGGCGAATGTGGGCCTCGCCACGTGGAACATCTTCCTTCCGGGCCGTCCGTATTTCAAACAAAGCTTTGAATCCGTTCGCTGTACCACTGGAGCCAGAAGTGAACACCACTCGCATTTCATGTGAACCAAACGCGGAGACAGAAGGTCCGGGAAAGGTGTCCGAGCAGTAGCGCTCTTTCAAGCGAAGCTCCTCCTTCCCATTCTTCACAAAAACATCGTACACATCCAAATAGTCATTGCAATTGCTATCGTCATCTCCACTCAAAGCAAATTGCTCAAAATGCAGAAGGATTTCCTTTCCAGGCTGACCAACAATGTAATAGGTGCAGTTTGTGTCCATGGGGTACTGTAACGCAATTCTTTACGAAGCAGTTTCACTAGAAAATCTTACATTAGCTGGATATCTAGGACTATTAAAAAATCCAGTAGAAGAGGTGAATCGAAACCTGCACTCATTTGAAGTTCCTAAAGACTCTCCTGTCACCCCAAAATCAGTTTTGAACTCGATGGTCGCCTTGAACCCAATTGGTGTAATCCGGTCATCTCTGGTATCCGTACTACCGAATTGCATTACCATTCTAGGACCTTCGCTAATGTAAGGTCCAAGAAGTGGAGAGTCAGAAGGGATACGTTCACACAGAGTTACATCGAAAATGGAATCATCGGTGGATGACATTACTGCCTTCATATTTCCCTCGCCAATAGCAATACCAACCCATGCACTAGGACAAGCAATGTCATCTACTGATGGTGGAGCTGTTGCGGGTCTGAAAACTAGAGTTCAAGTTGCATTTCGGTTTTTGAGACTCACGAAGTATCGAAAGAGAGAACAGCAATAGAATCAAAAGTCAATATCACTTTCTCTAGATTCTGCTCGCCTTGCAACCCATGAATAATATAAGTGCATGTGGTGTTTGCTGGATACACTTCGGGGTACTGAAACAGATAAAGGTTCCCATAATATAGAAATAAAGAACTTACATTAGGACTGGAGATAGTGTGAGTCGTCTCTCGATTACTCTCCACCCGTACATCACATTCTGTCCCTCGGATATGAGTCACCCCACGTTGCTTGTTGAGAAGTTTGTCAATGTTAACGAATCTGGAGGAGAACTCGTAGTCCATTATGAACCCCCTGGGATCGGATTTAGCAGGATGGGTAGTGTTGAAGTGGATGAGCAAGCTATTGGTCATTGAGTAAATTTCCATTCGCTGTTGCAAACCACAAACTTTTCGGATGATTGGAGAGGAAGGGGTCGGGCCATCGAATATTGTGATGCTGTCGTAGGGGCAGCTGGAAATGAAAACGGCTATTCAGAGGGAACCACAAGGAAAACTAACTGCTCTCCACCAAAGAAAATATCGAAATCTGTGAAAAACAGACGGATTCTCTCGCCCCGATATCCTTTCATCAAATAGGAGCAATGCATGTTGTGAGGATATGTTCCTGGATAGGTTGGGGAGTACAATGTTCCAATTTTTCGATCCGATGAGTCGATTATATAACTACATTTTTTGCCGCTAACTGGCTCGCCGGCTATGAACTTGTCTGAAATTTATGAGTTCGTCTTTGATCTATTTTATCTTGGTTCCTGAAAAGAACCAAAATGTAGGTATCTAAGGCCTTACCTTCAGGAATAAAAGAGTATTTCGCACGAAATCCATGACTATCTTCATGGTTCGTCGATCGGGAATGTAACACAATTTTCATAACGTGACGCAAACTAATTCTAACATGAGGTGCCACCGTACCACAGTACCGGCCACCTAGGGCCGATTGGAGAATGTCTTCATCGACTGACTCGACTTCGGAATAAATATCTACATATTCTATATCACAGCTGAAAAAAAAACAAAGTTTGAGGTTCTCAGAATATAGGTCTCACTTTTCAGAACTACCCGATAGAAGGAAATGATCGAATTCAAGCCTTACACGCTGCCTCGGTCCCGCAACAAACGTGTATACACACTGAAAATGGTTAATTAGATCATCATATCACATTGGGCGTCTGCTGAGTATCTGCCTTAATATGTATTGTCTATCTTAACATGTATTCCATACTTGTAAATTATACTGTTGTTCTGGTTTTGAGTTATTCACTCCATGGCTGATAGCCAGTTGCTTTGGTAAACTGGGAAACTCGATGACACCTTCTGGTTGAGATTCATCGAAGTGTTGATCGCACTCTGAAATGGGTTATAGGCGCGAATGTCCATGAAATTTCAAAAAGCGCAAGCATCGGAAAGTGTGTGTTCTTTATTTTGGTATGTGTGTTGTCTTCGTCTTCGGTTTGGTTGGCAACTCACTCCTCATACTGTAGGACGCCTTTCAGCCAGAAAACCATGATCAGGACGAGCAAACAGGCAATGACAATAGTGAACAGTAAAGCAAAAATGATATCACAGTCCAGTGCTCGACATCTGGCACAGTCTTCTTTCGTTTCTTTGGAATCCCATTCTAGTAGTTCAATTCGTGTTTCAACTATTCGTTCCAGACTTCTCATGGTGGTGGCCCTACATCGACAATATGGGAATGATGAGAACAGATGAGCAAGTTGAAGAGAGTTGATTAGAAATCTCAAAACGGGGCCAATAGTGACCAATTACAAAAAAAAGTGACCAATTACAAAAATGAAGCGCATGTCTTATTTATAGCAAATTCGAAATTTTTAGAAAAAAAAGTCATTTATGGCAAAAAGTTCAGTTATGACATAGTGGGAATGTTTGAATTTGTTGTTCGAAGCTTTCGACAGAAACCTAATTCCCTAAGTTTAATACTGGTAAGCGGCCCCCTGGCGGGCTTCTGGCGGGCATTCGCGAGCTCAGCCATAGTTTCTTTTCGAATCGATATTTTTGGACCAACTAAACTAGATGTGATAGAACACGACAAGTGTTACAATATGATACTGTTTGGAAAACTGTATCTTTTTTATGAACAAAATTATAAGCCAAAAACCAACTGAGCTACGCTGTTACCGTTTTTCGGCTTGTAACATTGTTCATAGACAAGATACAGTACTCCAAATTGTGTTATTTTGTATGGCTTGTCAAGTTCTATCTTATCCAATTTAGGTTGGTTCAAAAATATTGATTCTAAAAGAAACAAACAAAGGTCCGCCGCAGCCCCGTTTACCAGTATCCTAAATTTCAATATTTCTCATTCAAAACAAAGCAAACGGAGCTTAAGTTATGAGACCTAAAACCAGATAGCTTACTACAAATGAGGACTTGAGAGAGTTAGGTGATAAGCAAAAAAAGATAAGAGACAGTTTAGAAAAGTTTAACAAATTGCAAAAGAGCAATGACACAAGAATTATTGAGTGTGTGGCGCAAAAGAGCGACAAGACCCAATGAAATGTAAATATTAAAAGAAAAAGATAGAGTAGGCAAAAGACAACGGGAGACAAGTTTGAAAGCAAAAAAGAAGAATGAAAAGGATTTAAAATTTCATCCTCCTTCAAGGAGTTGGGGGCTTACATGTATACGAAAAAAGAAGATTAGGGAGTGATGGATAGGGGGGGGGGGGGGGGAGAAACTCCCAAGAGGAAGGGACCATCGCATTTTCTTCCTTTTCATTCTTTTCGATTGGAATACCTTTGAAAAACGAGCAAAGCGTCTTTCCTTTCCACTTAAAATCCACTTATACATTTTTACACAAGTTTTCTTTCTTTTACTCTGGTTGGGAACACACTTTTAGATGAGCACACACTTTTCGATACTTGTTGCTTTTGGCCGAGATGAAGGAGGTGGTGCAGAGGGGGGTAAAATAGTTTTGAACGGATTTGAGAATTTATATTTACTTTATGCTATAGTTTTTGATCTATGTGTTTGATTGAATCAAATGTTAAAATTAATGTTAAAGGTTAAAATTTACATGTAGGCTTGGCCAATATAAATTAATGTGAAGCCCAATGAGCATTTTTAGCATTGATCTTGCTATAGTTCTAGTAGTAAGAAGGAAGCTGAAAGTTCTATGCATTCCAAAAACTTCAGCTAAAGTCATTAAATTGTCCCTAAACATATAAACGTTAAAATTTCTCATTCAGTCTGCTTCTTTTAAACTCTCAAATACTTCAACATGAATCGGCTCAAACTCAGACCCCTTCTGACCTCCTCCACTCTGCAAGTTTTAAATTTTTTAATTTTAAAAACTCACGGAAAATAGTTTTCCGGTTCGAACTGATTGCTTCCGTGCTCCTTGAGATGAAAAGAAGTAGGAATATAATGTGGAATAAGTACATTTTTTGTCATCTCATCTGGACGTAAATCCGGAATTCTGAAGTAGAAAAATGATGATAGGGTCAGTGTCCAAAAAGGAAAAGGAATAGATGGAAAGAGAAGAGAAACTACGAATCTGGTGTGGGAGAGAATTAAATAATGACATTTTATCGGAGGAGGATCTGTTTAGAGAGAAGAAGAAGGAGCATAAGAAGAAGAAGAAAGAGAAGAAGTTGAAAGTGGAAATAGCATCCTTTGAGGAAAAAAACACTGAAAAGGAGAATAGATGAACGCTAGCAAATGAAAAGAAAAAAGAAAAGAGGGTGAAGAATAAGAAAAATGTTTGGGGTATGTTGTGTGCCCAAAAAGCAAAAAAACGAGGGGAAGAGGTCCTCCGGAAGAAATAGATTATTATGGGAAGAGAGGAAGAGAGGCAAGAGGGCAATGATGATGATGTTGGAGAAGGAAGAACATATATATGTGGGAGAATATGGAAAACGGGAGGAGGAAGAAAGAAGAAAGAAGATGATGGAGATGGCATGAATCCCATTATGACTTCTGGAGCAGAAGTCGGTTCGCTGGGTAAGACCGAGGGTTTTAGCGAAATAAGAATTGGGAAATGAGATTGAAGATTAGAAGGTGGTTGAGGAATGGCTAGTCTGTGATGTTAAAGGAAATTTCAGAAATACTGAAAGCTTCAATTTTGACCAAAACCATAAAAGGTTAGAATCGAAAGAAGTTTCAAATTCAATAGTAAACTCAAGGCTTTACAATAACAGGAAGACGATAGAAAGAAAAGGTCCTCTAACAGTTTAGATTGAATTGTTGGAATGCTTTGTTTTGAGAGACTAGACTTTCCAAAACTAGTATCAAAAGGGACCAAATTTAAAACAAAATTTGAAAAACTGATTTTTAAAATTGAATTAGGGGTGGTGGGACATAAAACTAAATCTTTGAAAGTTATTATCCATATTTAGGCTACTCAGTTGTTCTAAAAACTAACATTTTGTAACATACAAACATACACACGGGGCAATTTCCTTTGCACATGTGTTAAGGGCTCAAACGTAACAGATGCTACTTTGTGCAGGAATCTCAGAAAAAATTGACCCTTCGGTGTAGGAGAAGTTTTCCCCATTTCTCAAGTTGCTAGACTCAATGTCCAAATACTTTGGGTTTTTGAGTGTAGCACTAATAGTGAGAGAACTTTAGGACTTTTATGTTAAATTCTCAATTTATGGATATATCCAGAAAAAAAAATGTTATATCAATAAGAATCAGCTCTTTTAGCTCGCCACTATTTGAACGAAAATCTTTAAAACCAAAAGTAGTAATTTCACACCTCGAATATTTCGAATAATTTCAACAAAACGGTCTTTCTGTTCTCAGACAAATTCTTTCTTCTTTCTTCTCTATCGCTTTATCTCTCTTCCTTCACTTTGTCGCCATCACCCATCTGCCCCCGCAGGATTGTTGTTGTGGATTCTTCGGCTGCTGCCTGATGCTCTCAAACTGCTCCCTTGCCACCGGTATGTATGTGTTGTAATGTGCTGTTCTCATCTTTTCGCTTCTTCTTCTTATTTCTTCTTCTTCTTCTTATTTTCTTCCTCTTCATACACATCAGAGTATCACTTGCTGCCTTCCGATATACTAACACTTTTGATTTCAACTCGTCTTTCTAAACTCTTTGTTGTTAAGTTTGCATTTATTAAAAGTTAGATGTAAACTTCTCCAGTTTTTATCTGATTTATAGGCGAACCTTAAAGTTCGTTTTTTTTTCCATTTATGATTCAGATTTCGGTTCTTATATAAATTTCTTTGAAACTATATTTGTCTTTTTTTCAACTATATTTAGGCAACCTTAAACAAACACTCAATTTTTTCCCTCAATTTTCTTTCTTCTCTGTCTTCTTGAACATGTCCCGTTCCCAACAACCCAATTCAAAATGATTCATATCCAGATGACTATATCACCTCAACCCGCGCATAACCAATTCGAATCCTACCAATGGACTACTGAGAGTCGTAGTAGTCAACAAAGACATGGAACAATGACTCCATCCCAAGACGGGCGGCTGTCTGCGATTCCAGACCCAGTTGAACGTCATGTGGCTAGATGGCGTAGTGAGAGTCGCAATTCGAATAAGGATAAAGTCTTCCGTAACGATGAGGAATTCAGTCAACGTGAGTGTTTTAAAATAGTTTAGCAGTTTCAAAGTTCCTTATTGTAGAAGACGAAATTGTTAATGGTACTTTGACTGCATTGAAAAATGATGTGGAGCAGACAACAGAAATCATTCGTCGCAAACAAGAACAAATGGTAATAGCAATGCTGAATATCAATTGAAATATGTTACTTTTAGAGAATGGAACGTCGTCAGTTCCAAACTGAAATGGAAGTCAATGGAAGAATCACAATAGACCCAACTGACGATTGGCTGGCTGCTAGACTCAAGGCAGTCAGTGCAGATGATATGAACCAACAGTTGAACCAGTTGAAGCAGAATCAAAGTATGTTCTCATATAATTATTGTTCACTCAATGTCCTTCAATTTAGGGCAAAACGCTGTTACCGACACTCTTGCCGCTCTTGTCTATGATGTGAACGCCACCACAGAAGTGTTGCGCCGTGGACAGCGCGGACGTGACGGAGAGAATGGGAGCAAGAAGAAAAAGGAAGAAATCGAGTACACACTTCGACTCACTCCAGCTCCAGAGGAACAAATTCCACAGAGGCCAAAGATTCGTGAGTTAAAATTTTTTAACAAATATATTGAGAATAATACATTTCAGCAGAGGATGATCAATTGGAGAAGGACGACTACTCTCGTGAGTATGGAGTTCAGATGACTGAAGAGACAGACAGTCTCCGTCGTCGTCGTGCCAGAAGTACAACCCCACGAAGAACTCTTCACATCTCCGGGTCGCCACCGCCACCCCCTCCAGCCGTCTGCGCCTACTGTAGTGAAGAAATCGACGGCGCAATTCTGACCGCATTGGCTCCCAATTCAGAAAGAGCTCAAAAGTTCCATACCTACCACTTCATGTGCACATACTGTCAAAAGGCACTCAACATGCATGGAACATTCCGTGAACACGATCGTAAACCATATTGTCATGACTGCTTCTACAAACTTTACAACGGATTGCAATACGCACCGGATGATCATCAAGCGTCTATCGAGAAACTTATCTGATACTATTTACATTATCTGTGTGCATTTTGGTTTTTTATTCAATGTTCTGATGATGCGATAATGAACTTTTCAATAACCGACAAAACTTAAATTACATCTTCTCGTGAGAAGAACAAGAAGGAGACTTGGTTGTTATGGTAACCTCCTCACGCATATGTGCCCCCCTCACCCTACTCTCCTCTTCTTCTTGCTCATTTCACTCACATTCTTCTTTTCGCTTTTCTATCTTTTCATGGTTACTATGGTATTGCTAATTATGCTGAAAATAATCTAGTCAGATTAGTTTAAGAATGGAATATTAAAGGCATTGTCCGTTTTTTTAAGTGATTGAAAAGTTAGAAGTTTCTGCATACACCATCCTTTTATAACGGATAATACATCTTAGATGCACATGAGCTTTCTAAATGTATTTTTTGATAGGACACTCAACTTTTCAGTATGTCAAAACCCGATCCAGCTCCGAATCGAAAATGGACGAACCCAGTAATGATGACGGCGTGCGAGATACACTGCCCATCAACATGTGTTGCTTTGGGGCCAGTTCTCACCAATTCCGATTCAAAGTTGATTTGTGCACATGGCGGAAATAGAGGCATGAATCTGCGGTTGACAGTGTTTTCAGGATTATCACAGGAGATGGAGGCCACATTGGCAGATCCACCAACTCAGATTATGCATTTTGTAAACGAAAAGTCAACAATGCCAAATATTGCTGTTGCAGCAGGACCATCGGTATTGGTTTATAAGAACTTGAAGCCGTTTTATAGGTAAATACACGGACTCGCACCAAATCAAATCCTCAAAAATTAATAATTCCAGTTCACCGTGCCCACTTCTCCTATCAATCCAACTGAGGAAGAAGCTTGGAAAGCTGTTGCCTTGGGAAAAATCAATCATAATACTCTGATGAAAGTGCTCCAGAAGGTCACTGAAGATGTGGCATTCTCAAAGTTGACTCCGATCTCTCAAACGTATATGTTGTCTGATAAAGAGGATCAGCTTGCATTGATTGAAAAATGGGGAGGCAAAATTACGAATTGTGTAAGTTGGGGATCTTCTATTACATGGTTCATGATAGGTTTGAGGTTTAGCCAACAATCACGTGTATCACAAAAATTCTCAAATCCAAAGCTGAGGGATTGGATATTATGGTGATTGCAACAGAACACTGTGACATTTTCTTTCTTGATTCTCAAGCATTTACAACACTTCATCATTTCAAACTTCCTTCTGTCCCAGTCGTTATTCGTGGTTACGGTAGATATCTTCTATAAGTCTTCTGGAGGTCACTCTTCAATATTGTAGGAGAGTTCGACGTGGATTGGCGTCTGTTTGTTCAAACTCGCGATTCGTTGATTTACAACCTTAAAAGAGATACGACCGAATTGAGGCCAGCCATCATCTGTCAAAGTATGATCACTTCTTTGATTCTATTGAACAAATTTGTGAGTTTTATCTATTTAATACAGACATATTTGAATAAACAGGGTCATTATAGCTGGTCTACACTACTAATGATAACATTATTACGTTCTCCAGTTTCAGAGGCAAGAAAATCAATACTGTTAAGTGCACTGAGAAGGTTTTCTGACTTCAAATAATCCATATAACTCTAAGAATTCAGATAAAAATGCTAGAACCATTCTTCTATGAGCACAAGCAACTTTCTGCGGTTATTGCTGTCTTTGAGAAAAAGATTCGAATGTATAATGAAACTCATTTATTGGATACGGTAGAATACCAGAAGCCATTGAACTGGGTTAGATATGGGATGTATGGAAGAGAGGATAGTACACTCGTGGTTTGTTTCAAAGGTTGGTTTTTCCAAATATGTAGGTCCTTCAAATTGAAAACGTCTTTTCAGACGGCACGATTGCTATTCAAATATTCCGTCGAAACGCGGATTTCCGTAGTAGAACGAACTATAATGAGGCCCCCGCATCTCATGCATTGAAGCTTCAGATCCCAAAGAAAACCAAAGTTTTTATTGATAACACAGAACGAGAGAAGAAGTTAGGAGTCAAAATCCACCAGGCATACCAAAAACACCTGTTCAACTTGCGATTCAAAATAGCTGAATCTTACCAAACTCTAACCGCTAGCGCCATAACTACAGTATCCACAACTTCAGTACTTCCAGTGGAGATTGCAGTGGATATCAATGGGTTTGGTCCAAGGCACAGGATGAGTATTCGATTGTTGTCATCGAGGTATGTATAGGAAACAATATTTTTTAAAGTGTGATGTTTCAGCAAACAAAACCTATACGATATGCATTTATCTATGATTTCTGACATTGATGTCTATGAATTCGACACTCCTTTAATTCCAATCAGTATTCTGGCTTCCGGAAAACCGTACACATTCACCACACTTCTTCGATGCAAGGATCCGGAAAAGGTGTATAAAATTGGTCTGAAACGGCCATCTCATGAACTTGCGGAATTCCTATAAATTAATATATTTCAGTCAGCCACCAGCGAGGTCCGTGCTCTCCTAGTCCATACCAAACGGGCGACCCCAATTGTGACTGCTGTTATTAAGATGCCATTCAGTGAATTCGCACTTGAGTAGACCCAATTTTCATCCGAATTGCCTTCCATTTGTTCTCTGTGTCCTAGTTGTGTCTCCACATGAACATCATGCCATTCCCTGGTGTGGTGTGCTCACTTTTTTCTTATCTAAAATACAAAACTCTTGATATAAAACATTTATTTTTTGTTGTTTTTCATACGGCTGAAGTTAGTTCTAGTTCAGAGATGATCACATTGACTCGCACCGGAGCTGCTGAAAATGTGGCACTCATAACTCTGAATCGCCCAACTGCTTTGAATGCGTTGTGCCGTCAATTGATGCAGGAATTGTCTGAAACATTGCTGAAAGTAGAACACGATTCAACATACAATGTGATTGTGTTGACTGGAAGTGAGAAGGCTTTTGCAGCTGGTGCAGATATCAAAGAGATGGCAAAGTTGGAGTTTGCTGATGTTTTCCAAAAGGACGAGTTAGTTTTTGGAACGTTTTGTCTAATTAGGGGCTGGTTCGAACTATTTCGAGATAGATAAACAGGACTGAAGTTTATTTACAAAATAACTTTCCTTTTCTAATTAAAACATTTATTTCGAATTATTTACAATGATCCTTTCCTCTTTTAATTAGAGAAACCCTTTCGAATTGATTGAAGTTATCTTCGCCTTCAATTGACAATACAAAAAAGTTACAGCTTCTTCGCCAACTGGGACACTCTTTATCACATCGCAAAACCGGTAATCGCCGCTGTCAACGGTTTTGCTTTGGGTGGTGGTACTGAATTGGCACTCATGTGTGATATTATTTATGCTGGAGAGAATGCAGTATTCGGTCAACCAGAAGTGAGCATCGGTACTATTCCAGGGCTCGGAGGAACTCAACGATGGCCGAGATTCACTAACAAGTCGATTGCTATGGAGGTAGGAAACATAGAACTGACAGTTTAAAGTTTTTAAATCTAGATCTGTCTAACTGGAGATCGTATCTCTGCACATGATGCTAAAGAAGTTGGATTGGTCAGTAAAGTATTTCCAACTCAACAGTTGGTAGCAGAAGCTGTTATTCTTGCTGATAGAATTGCTAAGAATTCTCCATTAATTGTGAAAACCGTGAAGAAATCAGTCGGCACTGCCTATGAGACATCTCTGAATCAAGGTCTGGAAGTTGAGAAGCACCTGTTTCAGTCGACATTTGCTACAAATGACCGTCGCGAGGGAATGTCTGCGTTTTCTGAAAAACGAGCTGCCAAATGGTCGGGAAATTGAGGATAGTGTAAAATAAACAAAATCGTAAAATTAAGTCAATAAATTAATTTACTTTCGTTTCTTTGGAACCCTAATATGATCTTTTTGAAAATCGAGTAAAGCAGGAAAAAGAATTCTAAAAGAAAAACAAAACAAGAAGAAAGAATAACCAAATAAATTAATGATGATGTCCACCATGATCATGCGAGTGTCCATGATGGTCGTGGGAATGCCCGTGCTGCTTTTTGCTGCTGTCTCTTATCACAGATCCCCGAACTATCTGCGAACAACTTTTGTTTAGAAATCAGTTTAGTTAGAATTCGCCTACCGTATAACCCGATTTATAACCGGGACACAACTGTTGTACCCTATGTGCAAATGCTTTCTTTTCTACTTGAACGGTTGAATGTGAGGCACCAAGGTTCTTGAGAATATTGGCCACCCGGTGACGAACCATTTGCGCATTCGCCTCATCCTTCACTTGAACATGCACACTGGCCACGTTCATATCATTATGCTGCCACAAATGAGCATTCGAGTAGGAATCCACATTCTCGATCTGGAAATCTTGTTTAATTGAAACGATATGTAAAATGGAGAGGCACCTCAAGAATTTCATTGACATGATACTCAAACTCATCTTCTTCTGGAACATCTTGCAATAGAGTGTTCACTGAAGATACCAGAAGAGGATAAACGGAACCAATGATGAGAAGAGAGAGGATCAGAGAACACAATGGATCCACCCACACCCATCCGAACCATTGGATGAGAAGTGTTGAGATAATCACGAATACAGATCCGAGTGTATCAGCCAACACGTGAAGGAAGACTCCTTGCATATTGGCGTTTCCGTGCGAGTGACCATGGGATCCGCCACCGTGAGAGTGTCCATGACTGGAACCACCATGAGAATGACCGTGTTCTCCGAGAGAATACATTCCGAAAAGATTCACAAGGAGTCCTGAGATAGCAACGAAAAGGAGCTTATCAGTGTTGATATTTGGTGGATCGAATAGTCTCTCCAGTGCTTCTATCAGAATGAACAAAGCGATGACACAGAGAAATAGAGCGTTGATGAATCCGGAGAGAATCTCAACTCGTCCAAAACCAAATGTGAAATTTTTAGATGGTGGCCAGCGAGCCATGACACTTGCGACCAATCCCATAACCAGTGCACTACAATCGAAGAGCATGTGAAATCCGTCAGATATCAATCCCAAACTATTTGTCCAGAAACCGTAGAGAAATTCGATTCCACAAAATCCCAAATTCACACAGAGAAACCAGAAAATTTTTCTCGAATCACTATTCGATAGAATTTCGTGGAGCGTGTCTTTCATAAACCGCATCAGCGATTTTGACGTCTTCTGAAGGAATGCTTCTCCGTAGGTGAACAGGGGAAGTCCAGTGTTGGAGATTCCAACGAACTGTCCTCCTCGATGTTTAGGCTGGTTTGAGTGCGTCAATGAGATTGAAGCTGAAAAATTTATGAGTTTTCATGGAAAGTTCTGAACAGGGGTTACCTAGAATAAAGCAAACGACAGTAATAGAAACTCCGCCAGTCAGAGCGTGGTCTCCAAGATTCTGATGTCCATACCACAAGTATGCAAGCCCAAATGCGCATGAGAACATTGTGACAGACGACCAACGAGCAGCGGCCATAACTGGATCAGCGACATGTTGGAAGCAAATGCTTTCAGCATAAAAGTCAAGTACGAATACAAAAACGGCTACGACGACAAGGAGAATGGCGTACTCGAAAAATCCCATGGAAGCAAGGGAGCTTGTAGAAAGTGCCCATGAGAGAACTGCGACTGGAGTCAAGCAAACAGCACTGCCAGCCTGGAAATTGAGACCGTAATTCACAGAGCAGAAAAGGTGAGAAAGATCTTATAACAATTTCTGACCGAATTGTGTTTATTATGAAGGACCCAATAATAATAATAAAACTTACCGTTACAAGAGTATGAAGCTTCTTCGCGCCGCCGACTTCTACAGCCAAATGCCGAAATGTTGTTTCATAGGCAGTTCGGAGAAGCAAAGCAATAAGAAGAATACAGAGACCACCCTTGTGATCTGCCATTCCAAATAACCCAATGAGATGATAGAATAGATGATTTAAACCACTGTGATGCGCGTGTGTGGTGTCTGAAAACGCAATTCATGCATTTAATTGTGTCGTATATCAAAGCTTACGATGAGGGTCTTCAATAGTTCCATCCCTGTCCATCAGAAACAGACAAACAAATCCAACAATCAGAAGGAAAAATCCACGCGTTTTCGAAGTTGTTGAAACAGAACCTCCTTTGAAAAAAGAGACTATTGCGGAGAGCAAAACAGTAGAGCTGAGCTCAAAAACAAGTACACTTCGAAGCGGTCCACATAAAGTGATTCCGTAAAACCATAAAATCTCGATAACACCATTCAGAAGGGATAGTTTCAGAATCATTGGTAGCAGTCCTCGTTTTAATGATTTCCCAGATGATAAGGGTTTTTGAAGTGGAAATAGTATACATGTACATCTGAAAAGTTGTTCTGCTTATTTTAGTTTCGATTCAAGTTGCTTACATTATTTTACACAGCCAGAGAAGATTCACAATATGCGAACTTTTGGCTAGAATGTCGACAAAGAATATTCCAATACATCGTAGAATTTTGGTCAGAACCAGAACAACAAAGTATGAAGCCGATCTGAAATTACTTTTAAAAAATAATCATCACAATTAATTTTACCTGGACGATTGTGTTGGTGTGAAGTTTCTGTCATCTTTTTTAACAAAGTCTTGGGCTAGCATAGTTTCATGTAACTATTGAAAATTCGGGTAGATGTGGATTTTCAGACGAAAATTCGAAAATCTAAGAATAAATTAGTCTTTTCACAGGGAATTTCTCGGCATTTCTGCTCGTTTTCAAAAAAAAGTTCCAAAAATTAAAAGTCCGCAGTGTTGAGTGGCAGTGTTGGCAGACGCAGCTAAAAGAAACACCGCACCTTACGACATTTCGCATGGAGAGCTTCAGAAGTTATTAATCCACGTTTCAACGAAGAATAACTCAAACTGGAAATTTCGAGCTGAAAATTTTTTTGAAATAATTCAGATGGTGTTGTGTACTTTCTCCCCGATTTTTATCAATTTTCGTTGTGTCTCCGATTTTTGCCGATGCTTTTAAATTAAAATCTATTTTTACAGAATGAAATCTCAACTTCGGATATCAATCCTGCTACTATTCTCATATTTTTTGTCACTATGCGCCGAGAAAATCGATGATTCCATTCATTATTATATCCAATTCACCAATGATCTTTCAATTATCAAGGAACCGCCAACACTAGAAGATAGCGAATCGTCAGATGATTATGTGAGAATTATGTCAAAAAATAATGAGCAATTTCTCTGTAAGCTTCCGCAAATTGTTCCGGACGAGGAGAAAACTGTAGAATATTCTGGGCTCACTGCTGGAAAATTGCTGGAGACGATACTCTATAAAGAGAAGTTGTGCTCGTATTTGATTGATGTCTATTGGACGTATCAGGTTAGCGTTTGAAAAGTCAGCTGTGAAGATACTGTTTCTCTTAAGGTATGCCATGGTCGCTATGCGATTCAATTCCACGAAGACAAAATGCTAAACGGGCAAATTTCAAGAACTGAGTATTATCTTGGTAACTTCGATGCATCACTGACAGCTTCAACCAACGAAAACATAAAACCACAGACTCGCAGAATTGAAAACGAGGATTATCCATACTACTCGGTGTCTTATAATCATGGAACCACATGTGATGTTACTGGGAAACCGAGAACCACCGATGTAGTCTACATCTGTGTGGAGAAGGTGCAGAACAAGATTCTCTCTGTCACAGAAATTTCTTCTTGTCATTATGAAATTGTCATAATGACCGATTTGTTGTGCAGACATCCTGAATATCGCATATCGGAAAAGAGAAATCACAAGATTTTATGCTGGAATCAGGACGCCAAAAATGAAAAAGATGCAAAACCGATGTCACTTCAGAGACTTGACGATTTTCATGATACGACGTTTAAAAGGGAATTTACCATCAACGAGTTTGAAGAGCATGAGGAGGAGGTGGAGGAGGGAGGAGTTCTCGATGAGAAGGAATTTCAAAGATTGAAGGAAGTTCAGCAGACCGGGTTCGTACTAGGCGGGGTTAAAAGGTACGGTTTGGAAAGATCTCATCAACAGAGTGTGCATGCAATCCAGGCCTCTTTTAATCCTCTGATTGTTGTGATGTTTTCTTTTCAGATCCGACAGTTTGATAATAAAAATGAACAGTTTCAGATTCACCGCCAAAGACTCCCTAGCCAATGCTCCATCTGTCGTTCAACACACTGTGAATCGTATTTTGACTGGCGAAGACTGTATTATTGCTGGTACCGGATGGTGGAAGTATGAATTTTGCTATGGGAAGCATGTGATTCAGTACCATGAGGATGCTAATGGACAACGATCGGAGATTCTTTTGGGTTCTTTTGATGCCGTTATTCATAAGGAATGGGTTAAATTGGATTCGAAGAATCGTGGTGCTATCAAGGGAACTCAACAAATCATGCAACTAAATCATATCTATTCGAAAGGAGACATTTGTGATGAAACTGGAGCGCATAGGCAAGTATATGGCTTCACTGTCATCTATTTTCAAGTAGTCTATTTGATTTTTGAAAAATTCCAGAAATGTCGAAGTGCGCGTTCGATGTGCCACAGCTGACCATAGCGCTCTCGCCTTTTCAATGCATCTCACCGAGCCCAAAACCTGTCAATACGTGCTCACAATCGAAAGTGAAAGATTCTGTGAACCCTTCCAGTTTGCTGACGATTATGGTTTTATTGAAATCATACCATTAGGCGGACTTCGAACGGAAACCACTACTGCAGTTTATACGGATGAAGAGGATGGCGTTGTGGCTGAAGAAGAGGAAGAGCATGGAGATGAAGACGACGCGAAAATACACGAGGAGTTGTAGACGAATCGGGGGGATATAAATAAACTTAACATTGTTTTTTCTTGTTTTATTGATGATACTGGTTCAATTTTCTCTTGCTTCTGTGATTTATAGTTTTCTTGCAACAAAAAAAAGAACACATCTGTGTTTTGTAAATAATAAATTATTACAAATTAGTTTCTTTCCTTCTTCCTAGCTGAGAAACATTTTGGAACCCATCTCTCTATCTTTTTTTTCATCTCTGAGGTGCCATCGGAAGCCCCCTCCCGAGAGAGAAACATCATGCCATCAAATCGGAGACGCCGACAAAAATACATGACAGCCTAGAGCCTCTGGGGCTGTAGTGATCACAGAAAAGCTCTCAGAGCCTCCTACACACTTGAAAATGAGAGAGAGTGAGAGAGAGAGAGAGAGAGAGAGACCAAGGCGCCGCGCCTTTCCGCCATCATCAACTACACACATCTTTTTCAATATCACTGAACCCAGAGTCATCGAGATAGTGTGAGAGAGTTAGACACCCAGGAAGCATGAATAGACAACCAATGAGATGACTCAAAAAAGGGTCCCTAACTGGGCTTGTGTGTCCAGTAGCTGGTCCCTCAGCAGCCCCATTTTTCTAATGCATGCATCAGTAGTCTCTGCGGGACAGAGAGACCCCATTTTCTGTGGTGCACTTTCACTCTTTCTTCTTCTTCTTCTCGTCTTCTCCATCGAGAAAAAAAGAAGTCCCCCATTTCTCATTCCTTTTTTCGTTTTCATTGTTTTCTTACCCCGCAGAAGCTCCCTAGCTTTCTTTTTGGCCATTTTTTGGCTTTCAGTTTATTTTTTGAAAATTCCGTTCTCGCATTTTGATTTCTTTATAGATACTGATAGCGAGAAATCCTTTGAAATCAGATTTGGAAACTCTATGTCCCAAGAAATTTAGATTGCTGTAAAAAGTACGTTTTTATCCTCTATCTACGATTCCCTAGTTTCCCTACATTCTTAGATATGTCTCACTATATGCATTCACGAATGAATCTGTATGTTCAACCGAACAATAGATAACACACGCTCACATTCTCTCGTGCTTGTCGGATAAATTATTTCATGCATAATTTGACAGCACTATTCCCTTCTCCCATTCCACTTTCCCTATTTTGGTGACTTTTCAGACTTGTTGTCTCCTGTGTCTTCTTGCAAGATCGTTATTCAGAAGAGCTCAGAAACAACGAATTTCTTAACATTCTGGTCATATTCTTTTTTTTTATTTTTGAATGCGTCATACTTCAGAAAAAATTCCCCAGAGAACGAATCCATTTTTCTGGCCTCACTCGTTTTTTTTCCTTTTCGGCTATTTTGATTTCGTTGAGCTATTTCCTATGCCATCCTTTTAGTTAGACATGGTCAGAATTCCTTTTTTCTTTTCGGATATTTTCTTCTTTTTTTGTTAAAAACATAAGTTTTAGAATGGCTCCTCTGAAGGTCTATGTGGCCAGTGCCACTGCCAATCCTGAAACCAAGTATCGGGTACAACGGACACTTATGATTCTAGATGGACTAGGTATTCCATTTGATTCGATTGATATTACCAAACCGGAGCATGCTGAGCAAAGACGGTTTATGAGGGAAAAAGCGTCAAAAAAGGGACCAAATGGAGCAGTACTGCCACCACAGTTTTTCTATGAGGACGAGTATCTTGGGGTTTGTCCTATTCATTTGTTATAATTATCTTGGTTTTCAGGATTATGAAGACTTTGACACTTCGGTGGAAGCAGATACAATTACCGAGTTCTTGAGGTTACTACCAGATGCAATTGTAAGTTTTTTGATGATTATGTTTGACCCTATAACAGTCTTAACACCTCCCAATTTGATCTAACTATTCCTTCCAGGGTAACCGAATCCGAGTGAACGATGCTAACAAGTGTGTTGCTGCGTTATTCAGCAAATCTCAAAACAAAGGTGTGTGTACTAACCAATTATGAGAATTCTGGAATCGTAGAAGATATGCGTCTAGGCTCCTCCATGTATAATAACAGTGAGAGGGATTGATTACTTTAAGCATAACCAAAGTTTATCTTATTTTGAAATTTTCCAGGAGTCAAATGTCATAACTGATAGCACGGCGACCCAGGGTGAAAATACAGATGGTACAACTGCAAAATCCAATGAAAAATTGGAGAAAACAGAAGTAGATGAGGAAGATGAGGAGGATGAAGAATGGGATGAAGATGAAGGCGAAGATGAGGAGGAGGAAGAAGATGTGAAGAAAGATGGAGGGAAAAAGAATGAAGATGAAGATGTTGATGCTTCTGAAACGATAACGCTAGCGAAACCAACGTCTGCAAAGGAAGAGAATGAGAAGAAAGAAGAAGAGGAAGAAGTGGATGATGAAGAAATAGAAGGGGAAGATGAAGAGTGGGGTGAAGAGGAAGAAGAGGAAGAAGAGGAAGCTTAGGAGCACTTTTTGTCGGGTTTATGCAGTTCCTTTTGTAAAATTTAAACTTGCAGTTTTTTGAATTTGGTGGAATAATCACTACCATTCCACCAAATTCATTATACTGTGTTTCCCTTCCATCTGTATTTTTCTCTGGTACAACTGACTGTTCTATGAATTTTTTTCATTTCAAAATAAATGTATTTTATCTGTTTTTGGAAGTATTTCGTATATATTTGATTGCAATTGACAAGTAGGAAAAAGCACCTTTGAAAAAATGGAAAATATGAAGTCAAGAAAAAGTTTAAAACTAAAATTAAAACGCCGATACAAGATGTCTATGATGATGATGGTGATTTTGGCGATGTCGTTTTCTTCGGTACAGAGTCCTTCTACGCTCATCCCATCTGCTTATCCATTTTCCCAACTGTGCCTCGTTCAGTTTCCTCCATTGAATGTTTAACTCGATCTGCTCGTAGGTCATCTCCATTTTGATTTGACCATCTTCCTCGAACTGAAACGTTTTCAACAGTGACCAACTTACTCTGTACCCTCTTCATACCTTTTGGCTCTTTAAGAAGCCCTTCAACTCTTCCAGCTCATTTTCAGTACTCAGCGGTTCAGCAAGACACTTTACACAGCTCGCCATCAGCGATCCTTTGCCAAGGCTAAGAAAAATTTGGTTACTTAAAAAAAACCTCTTCTGGAACCCTTACATCACATGAAACTCGGAGAAGTGATTCTTGAAGTACTTCCAAACCGTATTCCTTGTGTTTTGGTTGAGTGCAAAGTAGGAGAAGACACGTGGAATCAGATTTGGTTTGATTTTCCCATCGAGACAGTATTTAAGAATTCTGCAAAATTATCAATTGGAAATAACATGTTGAGTGTACCTGTTAATAAGAGTCACATCTTTGGTACTTGTCAGTGCACCAATAATGTTGTTCTTTTCGGAGGGACTTGTCGCAGATTTGTACGCTTTCCATATTCTCTCCCAAGCAGTTGACCCTCCCTGTTTGACACCTTCCACCAATGCGATCATATGATGTTCGGGGTTTCTGACACCACTGCTAACCCATTTCAAATATCGTTGGTAGGCTTGCTTGGTACAATCCTTAATTCTGAGACGGCAAGCAACGCCAAAAATGTCAACCTGCAACCTCTTCTGATTTGGAGTGGTACCCTGCTCATCCCAATCAAGCGAATCGTAGAGCCTCATGATAATGCTTCGTTGAAAATCTTGAAATATATCCAAATAGTCAGATTCCTCAATCAACGATTCGATGGTTCGAAGTTGTTTACTGACGATGGACCAGGTCATCTTATCAGTTTCTTCTGCAATTTTCAGATGTAGGAAATCTCTCTTTCTCTAGAAACCCACTTTCTACATATTCTAAAATGTCAAAGTAGACACTAATATTGAGAAGTGATGTTTTTGAAAGATCGTACGAGTCCACAAGAATCATAGATCTATCGATAGGGGATATCGCCTGAAAATTATTGAATGATTCCTTGTTTCCGTGGTAGAACCCACACTATGGTTAGTCGCGAGGGTTTTTATTAATCTGTCATAGGTATCCGTGTCGTAGAGAACTTTGAAATATCCAACTCCACCAGTGTTCAACAGGAGCCAGTCGTTGGATGGTGTCTCCCAAGTGACTGAAAAACAATGAACTGTAAAAATGGAAAGAAGAAAAAAGACAAAAATACCATTATGATCATTTGGCTGGATCCAGTGAAGTTTTTTCTTTTTCTCGTCGGATGCTCTAGAATATTTTTTTGAAGTTTTCAATTTAGACTTTCCTTTTTAAGAGCAACTACCTGTAGCTGATTGGAATTGGCCACCTCCAATCTCCACGCTTTTCCTCAGCCTTATCTCCTTCCGCAAATAAGAATCTGGACTGATTATGTACAAGAATTCCATCCTCAATTCTCTCTACAGTAACCAATGGATATCCAACTTGAGTGGTGTATGCTTTGGCAAGATTCGGAATTGACACAGTTCCTTGAAGGTTAGCATGCTTCTCCACAATTTTCCACAGGTCTACTCCAATTGCATTGTCATAGGCATACTTGTTCAAATACTCGATCAATGCTGATTGGAAGTTCTTTTGACCAGCCATTTCTGCGATCATGTGGATTATTGCGGCTGCTTTGTGATAATTAATAGCGTCGAAGAGGTTTAGAAGACTATCGTCATCGTCAGATTCAATAGCACGAGAGCTCAGGAACCCATCTGGTTCTTGACTGAATGCCAGGTTTTCTGCATAGAATCTGCTCATCTAAAAATAATAAAAACTATAAAAGGGACATATGTTGAACACTTACAATACTCCAATCTGGGAACAACTCATCCACACATTTGTACTCCATATAATTGGCGAATCCCTCATTCAAAAACACCTCATTCCACCAATCCATTGTCACCAGATTTCCAAACCATTGGTGCGCGATTTCGTGGCAAATGATCAAAGCAATGTGTTCCTTGGCAACTACACTTGCCTTTCGTTCGTTGAATAAAAGTGCTGAATCACGGAATGTCACAAGTCCCCAGTTTTCCATCGCACCCTCACTGAAATCATCGAGGGCTAGGAGGTCTGAAAACGAAGAAGCATATCAAATTGGTTTGAAATCTTACCGATTTTATCAAGAGGGTAGCTAATATTGAAGTAGTGCTCAAAAAACTCCAATGCTCGGATTGTGGTGTCGAGACCAAAATCGGCTTGTCCAACGAGCATATCTTCTGGAGCGTAGAGTCTCACTTCAATTGGTTTTGTGGTATTCCTTGTTAGTCTTTTGATGTAGCTGTATCCATCTAGAACAGCAACAGCTAGCAGATAGGTTGACATTTTCACAGACTTCTCGAATTCGTCTTTGATGAGTCCATTTTTGTATTCTTTTGATAAAAGGAGGTTCATGTTACTTCTGGCGATATGGTGTGAATTTCTGGAAGCGCGAATTGAAATGAAAAGAAAAATTAAAAGCCCTCTACCTGATGATAGATACTTGGAAGGTCGCTTTAAAGTTTGGCTCATCAAAGCATGGCAACATTTTTCTCGCGAAAGTTGGCTCGAATTGGGTCGCAGCTGATTTTCTGAAAGGACAGAAGATGAAAAAGTTTTTCAAAAAAAGACTACGTTTTTTTCCCATTAGCTCCGATATGTGTGCTGAAATACAATCCTTGTAGATCGGACTTCATCTGAGAAGTGTACTTTATCTTCAATACAATATGATCTCCTTTATGCAGCCGCTTCACGAATTTCCACGCCCACTGTGTCATAACTGCACATTTGACCTACAAAAACGGCAGGATTATTGTTTTGAGAATATATATATGAAAACTTACAAAATCTGCTTTCAACTTTACTCCCTTCTTGGTGACGTCATAGCTGACCATTTCCAGATTCTCTGCATTCAAAATCAACAGCTTTGTTTCAGTCTTTATCAAAATCCGAATGATGACCTCGGATTGAACTTCACCAGTTGTCAGATTCGGGTGGAGTGTGAGATCATACTCGATGGGTTCGGATGTTTGAGGAAGGCGAGAGGAGTACCAGGTGATGTTCGTGCACTGGAACAGTGTAGGAATTGTAGAAGTGAAAAGGCAGTCATGAGGTGCGATGATTTTGTATGTAAGATCTGTGTAAAACCTGACTGCGAATTCGACTTTTTTGTCATTTAAAATTCAAAAAATCGTTTATTTTGAGAAACCAGGATATTTTTTTGGGTCCCTCACATTGGAGAATAAATATCAAATACTGTTAGCTTGGTAAGTGCCGGCCTGAGACCGTCAACTTCCAAACTGTGAAATGAAGATGATTGATTGACTTACCTCCTTGTTCGCTTTCACGAATGTTTCTTCATTTCTCGGCTCTTCTTCTTCATCTTCCACCTCATCTTCATTTTTTGTTACCACTTCTTCCTCTCCATCATCTTCTATCTCTTCCTTTTCGTCTTCCTCGTTTGATAGGCCTTGATCCTTCTCTATTTTTTCATTTTTTCCTCGCCTCTTCTTTTTGTTCTTCTCCTCGCTTCTGCCCTTTTTCCTTTTTTTAGGCTTCTCCTCTACTTCTTCTTCTTTTTCCTCATCTTCCTCCTCTTCCTTAGATTTCGATTCTGATTCTTTTTCCTCCTCCTCATCATCTTCATTCTCCGCACTCAGTACCGTGGTATCATCCAACTCTACACTACTTCCAACGTCATTGAGACTTATCAAAGTTGAATTATCAGTTTCATAGCCGCTGCCCGAGGACCTTAGAAACGATGGAATCTTGATAATAGGAGATGATCCATCTGGATAAAGCATCGCATGTAGAAATGCCCCAACTGAGACCCCTAAACCAAACATTAGTAATGCAAACGTTATGGCAACACATATGCGAGCTCGTCGATGAGAAGATCGTTGACGGTATTGGTTGCTAGGCGTCCATATAGCTGAAATCGGTAATTGAAAGGACTGCATGATAACTGTTCCCAAGACAACTTCTGACCTAAGGATTTCCTAGGCCACCTAACCTTGCCACCCAAAAGCTACCGGCAACTCACTGAGCCCATCGTGTGTCTCGCCCTCTTCGTAGAGCATCTTAGCTGCACTAGAAGTTGGCGGTGGAGGAGGTGATGATTGCATTCGTTGGATTCGTTTTTTTTCACATCGACAACAAAGTTAGATGTTTATGGGGTTCTGGAAATGAGAAGCTTGAAAATAAGTTATTGTTTATAAACAAGTTGAGAAAAAAGTTGGGAGAAGTGAATAAACATTTTTCCAAAAAACAGACGATACAATGTATATTGGTGATTGAAGAACACAAAAAAATGTGGGGAGTAGTAATTTTTGCTTTTTCCGTCTATTTGAGCTTCTGAGTCGTCGGCGGGGTAGTTTTTTTGGGGGAGAATGAAACACACAAACTTTTTTTTTTCTTAATTCTGTTGTTAAATAGACAAGGCGATGGCGACGAGCAGAACAGAGGCAATGGCAATTCAGGGAAGGGAGTAGTTGTTGGTTACTAGAAGTATTATAGGATTCTCAGATTTGCCTTCGTTTGGATTCAACGGCTATGACATTGTGGCGAAAATGAGAAAAGTCAATTCGTAGTGTTATATTTAAATCATGTGCAATAAAAACTCATCGGGGCAATTGAAAGAATCATCTTTCGGGCAGTGTATGCTGGCACACTTCCCATGTTTGCTAGGAAATAAAAAAATTAATCACAATTTACAACTGGAATCAGTGACCACACCAGAATAACTTTTGTTATTAATTGATGAAAGCATACGAAAAAAACTTTCTGATCAAAGAAATACTCTGAAGGAATCGAAATGAAATTTCCAAGCGTTCGAAAAATTTAGGATCAAAGACTGAAGCTGGTGGAATCTGAAGTTCTTATAGCCATCTGAAGAGGATGAAAAGAATAACGAGTAAGTCGACAAAAAACGACTGCTCAAACCATTGAACTCGAAGTGCCTGTGTGAACTTGAACTTTTTTGCCGATTCGTTTCAATCATCATCATCATCTATCGGTATCCCCTTTGCCCCTCTTATCCGATCTTTTCAATATTTACCGACCATAAGAAATGTTTGAAATGCGATCAAGTTACTTGAATTTACTCACTGTGTTTCGATATACCAGAAAGAGTCAATAATTTATTCTATATTTGTATGTTTGAGCATAAAACAACAACACAGACGAAGTTGATTTTTTGAAGGAATCAAAAAACATGTGCACAGAAGAACCCGTAGCTTTTATCAATTATTATAAGTCTTGGCACCCAGAAAGTGATTTAGAAGTTCATACTGGCTTCTTTATATTCGGAAGAATCCAAATTGAACAGATCTTCTAATTTCCATTGAAGAGTTTCGAATGTTGGTCTTTTATCGGGATCGCTTCTCCAGCATTGTTGCATGATGTCGTAGAGTACTGGAGGACAGCCGGCGGGACACGGCATACGGTACCCAGCATCTACTTGTTGGAGCACTTCCGCATTTGTCATTCCTGGAATTTTCGAAAATAAGGAACCTGATTGTACTATGATGGCCTACCAGGATACGGTAACCGTCCAAACGTTACGATCTCTGTGAGCAATATTCCGAAACTCCAAACATCCGATTTTGTAGTAAATCGGTTATAATTCGCAGCTTCTGGAGCAGTCCATTTAATTGGAAATCTTGCACCGGTCCTTGCTTCGTATTCATTCTCTTTCATTAGAATTCTTGCTAATCCAAAGTCTGCAATTTTCACTGACATCCCGGCGCTGATGAGAATGTTTCTGGCTGCCAAGTCTCGATGAATGAAATTCATCTCCTCGAGATATGCCATTCCAGCAGCCACTTGAGCTGATATTTCAACCAGTTGTGGCATCTGATACTGCCTCCCTCTTCGTTGTAAAAATGTGAGTAAATTCTCTTGCATCAACTCGGTCACTATAAGAATCGGCTCATCTTTTGTGCAAACAGCGTACAGTGACAAAAGTTTTGGGTGTCTCAGTTTTTTCATAATCTGCGCTTCAGCAAGAAAATCGGTTGGGTCCGCTGTTCCAGCTTTCAGCTTTTTCACAGCAACTGGCAGATTTGAATTCCATCGTCCTTCCCATACCTGAAAATTTTTTTATTTCTGTTTCGGCTAAAATTTTTTAGGAGACCGTCAAAAACTGCATTTATTCGTTTTCAGATGGCATTACCCATTGATCGTTTGTATGAGTTTATATAATTATCTTGTACATTAGAATAACAAGGCCCTCGTTTTTTATACTTTTAAAGATCATTTTTAAAAGGATCCTATCTACATTCCTTATAAACTTTAACGGTTCACAAGCTTCTTAATCTTGTTCTGTCGTTTTTTTCTGTTTCCGGCCTCAATCAATCTTCTCATGTTTCAATTCCAAAAAACCCTCGAATCTATCGCTCCGATCTGTTTCGTTGAGATAGAAAGATAAACCTCGTGTTTTTTCTCAAGAAAGAGCACCTTACGAAAAATGAAAAAGCACAAACATAGAGACCCAAGCGCCGATGAGAACAGATCATGGCAGAAACGGCGGATGTGTATTATCCGGTTGTTGTTTTTGAAAAGAGAGAAAAGGAGGACTGGACGGACAGGTGTCTAAATTTGTTGTGAAAAGAAAAGAAAAACGTATTAAGTTCAATTTTAAGTGAGACGGGTGATTATTAGCCATTATCATGATTCAGGAAAAATGGATGGATAGGGCAATTTGTTTCTCTAGAATTATAATAAAGTTTCTACTTTTCTCCTCATCCTATTACACAAACAAGACACGGAGCATCTCTATGCAAATGAGAGTGCTTCTCGGCAAATGATCACCACATGCAAATACAGTTCTCAATTCACTATACTTTCGGTGAATAAATAAACTAAAGGGCTTACCTCCCCAAACTGCCCAGCACCGATTTGTCGGATGAGACGAACCGATCGACGATCTACTTCCCATTGATCATCTGAATAATTATACAGTTTAGTTCATTCAATACTAATGTTGTGGAAGTTTCCAACATGTTGAGGATGTGAATAGTACTTACCATACGTGAATGTAGATGTCTGTGGAGCTTCTGACTTGACACAAGCCTTTCCTAGATTCACACAAAGACCATCTGCTTCTCGTTGATAATGTGCAATGAGATCGTGCAACGTGGCGAACGGACGTCGTCTGGCAATGAAGTAGCCTCCATGATCGAGTTGCCTGATTCGGTAGTGCTTGACGGTATCATTTTCACGAACTGCAAAAAAACGTTGGATGGGGCCAAATAACTCGACAATTATCTCGGTTCATAATGAAGGTGGAAATGAAGCACAGCCTGATAAATTGCGCCAAATGTCATAATGAGCATTCTTTCTGTTTTGGTGGTTACTCATTCAATCCAAAAACTGACATAATCTTAAAAGGAACTAATATAGCAGATAATCTTTTCCAACAAAGCAGAATCTTTCTAAACTTCGAAAATTTACCCAAAATTCTCACAAATTTCCCTCGGGGAACATTTCCTCATTGATGATTAGTAGAACACCCCTTGGTATCTTTCCATAATTTGCGGAACTATACATAAAAGGTCGGGTCGCCCTTTTCCGCCGCGCCCTCTCCCCTATTTTTTCCTCGGTTTGGATGGTAACCTTGATTATGTATGTCTTCTTTTGACGAGGGAAAAACGTGTTTTATCGTTTTATCCGCTCCTAGTCACTCCCCATAACAAAGGAAAAGGACAACAACTATTTAGGTGGAAAGACAGATAAAGAGGAGGCAGGAAAAAAAGAAGGGATTCGAATGAAATAACTGACCTGATAATGAAAAATCATGTTGTTTACTCTCGGAATCCCTTACTAGGTAGGCACCGTGCTCGTTGAGGTTTTGAAGAAGACGCTTCTCAGCATCTATCCTCCGTATGTTTCCAAAATACCATCTGGAAACATTGAAAATCTTAAAACGGTCGAAATGAAAACACTTACGGTTGTGACTCAATACTTTTCTCTCTGGCTACATAATTGGATGGGATGTATCCGGTTCTTCCTGTTGCTTTGTGCCTTGCAAACCACCAATCTCCTTGGGTGTCATTTAAAATTTCCAGAATCTTAATAAGCAATTTTTATATTGAAAAACATTTAAAACTTACGTCATCTTTTTTGAAACTCAAATCATCATCTGTTCTGGCATCATATTGAAACAAGGCAACAAATGTTGTTGATTGAGCCAAATTTTGATTTTTATCCACTACATTTCCACTCGACGATGTTAACGTAGATGATGGAATTGCACCGCCTGAGGCTGACGATATCCTTGGATGGCTGGGGAGAGTGTCGCGACCTAGTGTAGAAGATGTGTGAGCTGGTGACGAGGCACCCGGCGGATCTTCTTTGCCAATACAAGATCCCATAGGGGCAAGAAAGAGAAAGTGAGGTAGTGGGACTTCTGAATGAGATAGTGGGACTTCTGTGTTACGTCTGGAATCAGGAGAGTGTGAATCGAGTATAGTTAGCAGAACCAAAAAAATCACGAATAGAAATACCCAGAAATTGAACGGAAACAAAAACCGCATTATAAAAAATTTGGAAAGTTTTATTTATCATAAAAAGAAAAATACATTTTGAGAAAATCGGAATAGTCGTTTGTTAGAAGAAAATTGCCTTTTTGAAAAATACAAAAAGTCTGAATCATTTCATAAATTGGATAAAAAGAAAAGTTATAAAAGAATAATAATGAGAGAGAGTCTTAGCTAAGGACATCGAATCAAAGGAGAGAAGATTAAATAATATATTCTCTGGATCAGGGTTATGGTGGGGATACTTAATAATTAAGTTATATGATTCCAGCTGAAAAAGAAGTGAAAAGATAAAAGCTGAAATTCCTAATTTCCTTAATTCAAGATTCTCTATTTGGCCGGTGTGTGCTGCCGGTTAGCTATGGGCAAAGAAGAAGAAGAGGAACTGTATGTCTTTCTCTTTTTACCATTTTTCTCTACCTCTCCCTCTCACTCCGTTTTCTCTGTGTGCGCAACCGAGGTCAGGCATCTCCCTCTAGATCCATCCGTCGCAGCGCCACCGTTTAGCAAACATTTGCGGAACGCGCGTGCCTTAAACTTTCTGAGAGATTACACTGATTGGAGAGACTCAGATATACAAAAATGGCAATTTCGACAGCAGAAGCAGCAGCGCCGGACTTTTGGTGGAAAACATCTTCTTTTTTCGGAAAGAGATTGGATTAGGATGGGAGGCATGAGAGAATGAAAGCGAATGATGAAGTTGTCATTATCAAATTAGATTACATGATGATGTAATTTTGGTACATTAATTAGTGAAATCTGAAGGGACGAAAAATCGTTATTTATAAGAAATATATCAACAACAAAGCTCATTAAATTTACATGGCAAATGTGAAGAACAGGGATCACAGGGAGTCAACATCTCTGAGGATAGGCGAGTTTCTGAAAAGTTGTCCTCAATTTTTATTTTCTATTCAAAACATTTACCTTATAATTGTCCCTGCAACAGGAAACATTTCCGGATGTTTACCCTGTAATCAAATTCTACAAAAAATAATAATAAATAGCTCACACCTTTTGGTTTTTGCTGATATGCTTGATTAGTTTTTCTCCCATCTTCTTCATAGCTTCTGGATCGTTTTGCAGATTTTTCATGTTTTCTGAACTTCATGTTTTAAAGATCTACATTGGGATATCTTACCGAGAATTTCATTGATATTTTCGTTGTTAAAGCAGTAAGTGGAAACAAAACACAAGCAAATTAGAAGAACCCCAATGTGGAGTTTCTAGAAATTTAAAATATAGATTTTGGGATAAAAAGGTTGAACGAAACTAACCATAATGATAAAGAAGAGCTAAAAATCAATATTTTCGGGTCAACACCAACTTGTCGACTGACCAGAGTCCACACTGTTTACTTACTGCGAGCCAGAGCAGCAAATCAAGCAAGCGTGCTTTAGGAGTGCAAGCAGATGGGAATGAATACAAATGAAATAAAATTTTGTTAAACATAGTACCGGTGATATGATGTTCCATCTACCCCAGGGAAAAATGAAAAATTCAGGGTTTCGAAAAAGTACCGGATTGGGTGGTCTTCTATTGAAGGAAATACTGTAAGTCAAAGGTGCCTGATTGATTTGAAAATTACAAGAATTATGTAGAAAATATCTGAGACTGTATTTGTTTGACTATTTTTGGTTCATTCCGTTTTTATCATTTAGTCTTATCTCATTTATAATGTTTTCGATATTCAGCCAATTCCGATTGGTGACGCCTGCCAAAGTCGTTAGCCTTTTTGATTGATGTCACCCTTTCAACAAGATGCTCTATTTTTTACACTTGTACTTTTTTTTAAACTAGAGCGTTGTCATGACAAACGTTCGAGAAATGCAGCTAGGCTTATTTGAATTCAGCTCGCCAACAAAATATTCAAAAAAATATATGTATCAATATCAACTCAGAGTTTCAAAATTGGGCCATAACCAAGGAGTCAGTTGTCCAGTCTCATTAATTTCCGTTTAATATGAAATCAATCTATTTTCAGAAACCAATTCATATTTCTTTTACGGATTGAAAGTTTTTTTTTCAACATGGGCTCCTCTTTCGGAAATCCGGCACTTTGAGTGGTTATTGCTTATTGGTTTATTTCTCTCTTCTTCTTCTTCTTCTTCTTCTTCTTCTTCTTCTTCCAAGTGTTAATCCGATTCATTCACTAATCCGATGTGATATCAAAATCAGATTTATACACATGCACATCAAAGTGAGCAGAAAAAAGCGATAAAGAAGCGAAGCAGATTTTTCTCTTTTGAATTCATATTCATTCTTCTCTTCTTCTTCTTCTTTTTTTTTACTCTCCCTCCTTCTTCTTTTTTTCTGTCACCGAATTCAGTCGGGGTGGATATATGGGATTTGATGGTTTTTTTCGAGGACTTCTCCGTCAGTCGTCAGTAGAAGCAGCAACGAAACTGAGATATTTTTCCCATTCTCTTCTCTACGCCTCCTCATCCCAGAGGCTATTTTTATCAAGACCCTCCGTGCTCTTTGCCCTTGGGACAGACACTTTTGTTGATATGCACAAAGAGTACCGAAAAAGGCGTAAATTTTTTTCTTCTCTTCTTTTCCCAACTCCCGTTTTTTGTTGTTGTTGTTGTTATGCAGATCTCCCCTCTCAAAACGAGATTTTTATGTTTTGACCTTTTCGTACAATTTAAAAATAGAAATTCATTTTCCAGAATGATCATAGCTTCTTATGAAATCACATGCTTTCACATATTCCTAGGAATTCTCATGTTTGGTATATACTTGGTAAGTTGGTTGTTACCTGGCAAGAAGTTTAGTGTAGCATTTATAAAATTACTTATGATTTTTGAGTTGGAAATCTTTATAATATTTTTAGTTTATTGCATTCGCTAGATCTCTATGTATTAGCTATAATTAGTTAAATTTTAAACACGACAACATGTTGATGTTTTTCATATCTAGTGGTACATGTCAACTGTAGTACATATATGTCATTTCGGATACAATCGACATTTGCGGATTGCTATAATGTATTTTCAGGAAGTAAAATTTATGTTGGAAGAATTGTTGACCTAAAAAGGTTAAGCTGAATTTTCAGAAAACTCTAACAACTGAGACCAAAATTTGCATAATTAATATTTTTCAATAAATAATCTTTCATATGATTAAAGATCGTCCATCAATTCTATCAACAGTTCAAACTTCGCCGAGAAAGGAAAGAGCCCAACGTTTTCGATCAATTCGAAAAAATCCCTGGTCTCCACACAATTGAGAACAACTCACATACATTTTACTGCGGTGCTCAAGATTATACAATGAGCAGTTCCCGTAAATTGGCACGGATTTATAAACAAGACCGTCTCAGAGTGGAACGCCTTTTAAACAAACTCCTGCTCGGCTCATACATCCGTGTTCCGGACAACACTGTAGCCGTGTGTATTCCTACTTGGTGTTCAAAAATTGGAGCCAAGTACCACGAGTTCAAATGCACGCCGCCTGCTCCTTATTGTCCTTGCCCAACGATTCTTTCGGAGTTTAACTACACCTACAAAATGGTGTCTGGAAGGGTGCAAGCCACATTTTATCACAATCGAAGATGCACGTGCTTGGCAGGAATATGTATCTATATGAGGATTCCGAATGAGCCATGGTTTTTTGGAGAGTTACCGGAAGATTTGATTATTGACTTGATTGGTAAGTCAAAGAAAAAAGATAACACCGAAACTCTGTTTTCAGAATATGCCATCAAGAGTTACTCGCCACGGCGTGGCAGACGTTATCGCCACACGCCTCCGCTTGTTCCTGCGTTCAGACCAAACGCCCCACCAATAGAAATCTCATCGTCAGAAGAGTATACCGATGTTGATGAGGCAGAAGACTCGGAAAACGAACGACCACCATGCTACGCTTCGGTTTTCGGGGCTCGAATAGATGCAACATCTAGAATTGACGAAGTGGCACCTCCTAACTATTTCTCGTTATTTTCAAACTCATCAGCATTGTGATAGAGGTTACGGTTGAATTGTTCTTGAATCAAAAAAGTGATCGCACAATATCGTCATAAACATTTACCTGTGATGTCATTATCTGAAATGCTCCTTATCAAACTCAATAAACTGATTCATTTTTTGAACTCAATTCCCACTCTGTAAAGAGGAAAATTGGACTTTTGAACCACTTGGATTCTTGGTCTATTCTATGTATTATTCTATGTTCATTGTTGGAATCTGATTATCATGTATTTTAATGTTTTTTTTTCCTTTTTTTTCACGATTCTTGCAATCGTAAATAAATAAATAAAACTTCTCTCAGCTCACATGAGGTTATCATTAGTTTTGCAGGTGAATGCGTGGGGAGCTGAATGGAACAACACACTTCTCTTCTGCCTGACCCCTCCCTCTCTCTCTCTTTTAATAAAATAAAAACTGAAGTAATAACCGGATTGTTAACGCCCTCAATACCTCTCTCCCTCTGCCTCCTAGGTTTTTCAATATTCGACAAACTTTCATGTCGTTTTTGGATTGCCAAAACTTCACTGATCTATTCTTCACTTTATTACCATTTTTAGTGTTCCCAACAGTTTTCTTTGCAGTAGAGAACGGAGTGAGTTTTCAGGATTCTGAATATAATCTGACACCAACCGACAAAAGCTTTCATAATTTCATAGGCTCATCTGTGGAAAGTTACGTAGTACTTGACTTTGGGATAGAGAAAGCATCTCAAAACCTAGAACTCTAGTGCATTTATTGACACATTTCTGTACAAGATGTTAAAGAGATGCAACTTGTAAAACTACAATTTCTATTTTTCATAAATCCCAGTTTCCACTTTCCGTAGACCTTCTAAATTAGTTTCTAAAACTTCTTTAATTTTCATACCAATGCAGAATGCTTCAACTTTTTATACTCAAACATTTTCATTTGGTCTGCAACTGTATGTTAAAACAGTAACTTAAAAACACATATGTAGGGATTTGCATTTTTTATGCTGAACACCTCGTGAACAGAAAAGTAGGAAAAAGACAATAACAAATATGTTTACACAGGTTTCATACATACTTGGAATTCCACCAAAAACATCCAAAATCATACACCTAAACAAAAGGAAGTACCGTATCCCGATTCACGGTTAGTACCATACTAAATGCCTTAAATTACAGAAATACAACAATTTTGGAATTTCAGACGTCACATCTGATTACTGTAGGATTTAGAGATGTGTGCTACAGAAGATTGGCTAGAGATTTTGGGAGGCGTTCAGAAAACCCAATTGCAGCGGAACCTGAACAGCTTCATGAATGGTACAGTGCTATTTGTTGGGATGGGGTATTGCTATGTGGTAAGCTGGTATGAAATTGATATTTAACGCTAAAAGTGTCGGGAAGAGAACAGAATTTGCTATTTATAGTTGACTTAATAACAAAATTTCAGATCCTTCACTACCTCTACACACTTACAATTCTGGTGAAACAACGATTTTCTAAATCATAATTTTTTATTTATCATCTTAAAATATTCCGGATTTCAGGTTTTCAGCTTTAAAATTTGAAAATAAATATTCAAGCAAATATTGAAACCTACAGTAATCTTCACAGGGCCAAAGCATATGTCCTCAGATCACAAATTAATGATAGTGAGCACAAGAAAAATAGTTATAATGAGCTTTCCGCTCCAATGAAATATTATTCAGCAGCTGAAAAGTTATGCTTTATCTTGAATAAAACTTCACTCATTACACTATTTACATGGCTAATGATAGTTTTTCCCTGCTGATTTTCGGCTAAAAGACAAACTTCGGTATTTTTTTCTTGTAAATGTTTTCGTTTCTTTTTTTCATTTATGAATTCTCAAAATATTTTTCATCACGAACGACACTAAGGATGTTCGGAATTTCGAAAATTTCGATCAGAATATATTTATTTCCGCAGCATTTTTTTCGGAATTTGAAATTTTTGGACTACGGTATGTCAAAGGCGCACTCGAAAAATTGTCTTGCGGATCCGAGTGGAAATACTTTTGATATTTTCTTGCCTTTTTTCAAAATGTTTTGTCAATTTTCTCCAATTTTCGGGGTTTTTGGGATGGGAGAACGGAATTTCTGCTTTAAAATTAAAATTTTAAAAATTTCGAGGTTCCGAAAGGCTATTCCGAACATTCCTGACAGTCAGGCTGACACTACAGACATGCCGCCTGCGCGCGTTTTTAGCTGACCAGTTTTCGAACTTTTTTCGGTTTTTTTCTCGATTTTTGAAACAATTTTCACTGAAATTTGCAGAATGACTGCTCGCGATCGACTCATCGAAATGCAACAACTATCCGGTATGGAGGAAGGCTTGAGAAACACAAGAAATGATTCAACTGTAAGATTTTTCTACCCATTTTCAGCGGCAAATTTGAACTTTACAGTTTGTAAACGACAATGGACTAGCTCACTTCCTAGAAAGCGTCGACTCGATTCGGCACATTTTGATGACGTTAAATATGGATCGAGAGTCGATTCAAAATGAACAGGTTCGAAGCGAAAATTAAATATTTTTCGCTGATTATCCATACAGCGCAAAACCAATATGCTGCATTTTCAGGAAGCCTCACTTGCTGCCGGTTGTGCCGATCCTCACAAGTGTCGAACTGTGAACGATCACAGCGATCAGTTCATTCGTCAGGCACGTGTCGTTCGTGGGCGTCTTCGCGAGGCTACCGATGATTTGAAGAACTATCCAGAAAGTGGATTCGGAACTGGTCGCGCTCGACATGAGCAGGTAAGATATTGAGTATTTTAGAATCAGCCTAGTCTTGATAGCATTTCTTCTAATTTCAGGTCCGCACTCTGATAACCTCGTTCGAGACAATAATGACTAAATTTAGCGAAGACCAGACAAGCTATAAGAAAAGAGCCTCTCGAAAAGTGGCCGAATATTTCCGAAAACAGAACATTGAGGTGACTGATCGACAGATTGACCATGCACTTGAAAATGGAAGTTTGTTCTCGTTGACACGGAATATCAATATGGGAGTATCAGAAAAGAAGGCGTTGTTCGATGATGTCAAGAATAGAGCCACCGATATTATGCTCATTGAGAAACATATTCAAGACATTTCGGAATTGTTTGAAGATTTACACGCAATGGTTCAGCAACAAGGTAAAAGAGTCGAATAAAATTGAAAGAAAACCGAAGGGCAGCTTTTATTAAAACTCCTCTCGCTTTGGAAAACTTTTTCAAAAAAAATCTCTGTAAAAATAGTTTTGAAGTTTTTAACGACAACTTTTGATTAAAGATTGCAGAAAATTGACGATTTCCATCAAAATTTTTAAAAAACTCTATATTTTCCAGGAGAAACAATTGATCGAATCGAGACGAGTGTGTGCAACGCGACTGAGTATGCTGGGCGTGCCGAACGCGATGTCCGAGCGGCTGTTCAGTACCGTCAGAAAAGTTACAAATGGAAAATCATCATCTGCATCGTTCTCATTCTTCTTGTACTTATTCTACTCATGGCTGCTAAAGCATTCTTGTGGCCTTTTTGATAATCTCGCCCTTCTCATTTTTTTCCTAATATTTTACGGGCAGTTTTACTTTTACATTTTTAATTCATATTTTCACCTCATTCATTGTCAGGAATGATACATACATTTACAGTTTTAAATATTCACAGTCGATTTTTTGTACAGAAGAATAATTAGTTGATAAGTTCAGCATCAAACTCATCGTAGATTTTCGGAGGGACGTCTTTTTCCACGATGATCACTTCCATGTTTTCTGGAAGATCGTCTGTGAACTCGAGAGTCGGCTCGACAGCTGGAATCGGAGCCAATGAGAGGGTTGAGAAGGACTTGGACAGAATCTGTTCCATCGCTGGAGAGACAAAGTTGTCAATAGGATCTTCATGAACCTTTGGCTTTGTTTTAAACACATCCTTCATGATTTCGATCTCCAATCGAATGACAAGCGAACCGTCGTTCCGAAGCGCGCGTTCCACTGTTGCTCTGGGAATGTTGCGGAGTCCCCAGGAGTGTCCCCCGTTCGGTGGTTCTACATGGAAGTCTCCCACATTGATATTGGTGAACACCTTCTCTTCGTTGTCATTCAAAAACATGAATTGGTATTCGGCTTTGACTCTTGCTTCCTGCTCTGGCTTTCTCGATGACATCTTCAAGAAGAGCGACACGGTGCCGGCATTCTCTTCTCGTTTGCCGCCTGGGTAGAGGATGAGTTGCCAGCAGACATCGGGGAATTCGGGGTTACTGTAAGGTTGGGAGGTTGAAAGAGCCTTTGATATATACAGTATTATCGCTGTCTGAGATCGTCGAAAAATTAATATAATAGGAAAATAAAATTTGAAATATGCTAAAAGTACGGTGTTTTTCGGCATTTGTGACTTAAAGAAAAGTTGAACGAGGTACTTCGTTCTCAACCTTCTTTTTCTCAGACAGCGATAATACTTCATATGTTTTGATTTCCTCCACACAAATATCAAGATGAAAGTCTATTAAGGCCAAAAGTATCTCAAAAACGACTCACATCAAAATATCTCCGGTTCTCTTATCTCCAGGGCAACTGAACCTTAAAACAGTATCGAAACTGAGAATAGTGCACCGGTGGGTGGGACAACTTGATAACGTTGATGTCTGTGACATACTCGTCGGATGGAGGAACCGGTGGATTGCTAACCGGAGCCACACCTTCTTCCAACACCTCCATGTCTTCTGGAAAATCATTCGTAGGCTCGAGAGTCGGCTCGACAGTTGGAATCGGAGGCAATGGGTAGAAACAAGGATTAGACAGAATCTGTTTCATCATTGGAGAGACCTGATTGTCAATAGGAGCTTCGTGAATCGGTCGTTCCATTTTAGACACATCGGGCTTGATTTCGATCTCCAATTGAATGACAAGCGAACCGTCGTTCCAGTTATGAACGTGTTATGACCGATCTAATAAAGATGACTTCCAACGCGATGGGTTGATTGGAAAAAATTCGGAATGCTTCTTTTTTTGTTTTAATATACTTTGAATGAATCTAGTACTGTAACGGTATGTTCAGAGTGCTATATGGTTCTGTGATTTTCTCGAAATTTACGTTTAAAATTGGGTCCATCATTTTATCATTCTAGTAGAATAAAACTTAGGTTTGCTACGAAAAAACCATCAATTTGGCTTCATTATTTACTATATTGATATGTTTTGGTTATCTCGCACACGAATCAAAATAATAAACAAATCAAAATAATAAAGTGACAGGGTTGGCGTCTATGAGAGCCAAAAACATCAAAAACTACTTACATCAAAACCTTTCCGGTCATCTTATCTTCAGGGCTACTGAGTCTTAAAATACTGCCGAAATTGTTGATAGTCCATCGGTGGGACAACTTGATGGTGTTGACGTCCATGACATACTCGTCGGATGGAGGAACCGTTGGATTGCTCTGCGTGCGAGTAAGAATTTCGGAAATTCGAGCTATTGCTGCAGTTTTTCACTTTGAATATTTTTAAAAACTAAAAAAAACTAACCCGAAGCATTGAGCAGGAAGTTGTCCTCAATACCAGACATGATTGGTAAGACGTTGCTTGTTCAAACAAAGTGGAGAGTATTGGCTTTTCTTGCCTTCAACGTATCCTTTTCTTGGCAGATCGATAGACGCCTTCTCACCTGCGTCTCCGTCAAGGTCAGTGGCTAGAGAATAAGGGAGAAGAAAGAAAGAAAAAGAAGAGGAAGAAGACGGAGAGACGAGGGGATGGTCTTATTTACTCTTGGGGACAATAATGTGAAATAGCTTCAATTTCAGAAGAAAAGGAAGGCTAACGATGTCACCTGAAAAACCAGCAATTGCAGCAATCACTTTATCTTGTTAACTTTTGAAGAGTATTCACATGAGTTTAATAAGATTGTTTTATTGTTCAGAATAGAGAACCGCAAGTCTACAAATGAGAGAGAGAGGGCAATTATTTGCTCAACTTCGGCTGGAAAACGGAGATAGAAGATATCGTATGGGTTCGTTAATAAAATACAGGAATCATTGTTGGCGGGAAATATAACTGTGAGATTCATTAAGTACAAGAAAAAACTGATAGACAATTATAATATCGAATTAATCAGATGAAGAAGAAATGACATCGAAGTCCTCCAGGAGGTTGATAAGTGAAACCTTATGTTCTTCGAGCAATGTAGTTCCAAGTGAGACTTTTTCTGCGTTTGCATGGATTTCCAAATCGTCTGAGGGTGGGAATTTGTTCATTTAAGAAAAAAAAACACTTTAAACTGACCACATTGCACTTCCTCATCAACCATCATCACCTTTTTAGTATCCGACTCCCCGTTCAAAAATTTCTGGAAGAGAGCACTGTGACAATGAACGCTGTAATCCGGATTTTCCATAATCCAACTAGCAATTTCTGTGATTTTCGGTTGGTTCTCCTTTGGTAGTCTTTCTCCAGTTTCACGATGTGTGAAATAAACAGGTTGATCATTTCCCACCAACTCCTGGAGACGAGCTTCTGCTTGTTGCTCGAGTACTGAGTTGTTGCATTTTTCTTTTGCTGGCTCTGGAATGGAAATTCAGTGATTTCATATTTTCTTGATAAAGTGTATTACCTGCATTCGGATCCACGAACTTGTAGGTCAACGAATCGACCAAACACTCCTCGCAAGCCTCCTTGAACCACTCTCGTGTAATATGGTTGAAGTCCCAATGACGAACATAAACATCCTCGCAATCAATCAAAATGCGTTTTCCTGCTACGGAGCAATACCGTCCATAGATATGCTGACGGATTTTCTTGAGCCACAAATTTCTGTCTTGGAGAGGATACGGCTCTGTGATTCCTGTAGCGATCCTGAACGCAGCCCGATCGTTCTCAATACACTTTGCTCTTCCATTCAGGACTGGGAAGAAGGTGACTCCTGCCAGATACTGTATCTTATTCTCATTGTAGTAAGTGAGTTGCAAATTTTCTGACTGCAGTTGGTATGTGAGATAAGCGTTTTCCGGAATCTGAGTTTTGTTGACTGGCCAAAACTCGTGGAATGAGCTTTCAACAGAAAAATTGAACATCGGGAACGAGACAGCAATAGTGTTTCTTGGAAACGGATCCTCTAAGTGTTGCATTAGTGTGGGTTGCTCTTGATATGCATTTCGTAGTTGTTCCTGAATAAATGCGAGACTCTTTGAATCCACCAATTCCGCACCATCCGGAGCCATAATTAACAAAACTTTTGGCGCATTTTGAGCATTGAAAAGGATTCTTTTATACGTCCCTTGAGCCAGAGTTTTTGGGCAATATGGAATGCTAGCCACTGGGTAACCGTGCTCCATAGCACATTGCTTGTTGGCACCATCAATTTTCTTGTAGATGGTTGAGAACAAGGTTGAGAGAACTGTCATTGTCTGAAAGAAAAACATCAATGCAAGAACATTATAAAGCAAAGCTAGTGGGAAAACGAAAAAATAAGATTGAGCAATCTGACAGATGAGTTGTCAGAAGTCACTAATGAGATGTGCTTCTTGCTGACACAACTCCTCCAGATACTCATATTACTTTTAGGAAATGTAAGATATAAACAACATGTTATGAATGACTAATTATCTTCGATTGTTTGCTCATTTGGAGACTTCTTAATATAAAATCAAAGAAGTTCAAATCATGCTGAGCAGTAAATGGGCCACCCCGCGGCGTACATCTCCCTTTTTTGGCTAGAGATACAAAATAAATTAACAAAAACCATATATTTCTTTCATTCTTGGACGCCATGTGCTTGTTAAAATATGAATGGAAACTTCTGAATTTTTAACGAGATCTGGTTTTAAAAATGCAATCTGAAACATGCATGATAGGAATTTCCAGAATTTCTAAAATAATGCTCTACCTGCAGTGATGACAATAAATTCTTGTTCCCTAAAAAGATGTGTGCAGTACATTTCATTTATGACCCAACGTATTTGACACTCATCCTCAATTTCTCAGTTTACTTTTCCTCAGAAGATAGATTAGTCATAACTAGTCAGAGATCACCGAATACTGACTACAGATGAATGAGGGTAAAAAAGTAACGTATTCAATAACGCTTCTCAGAAGTGTGTGTCTCTACAAGCAAATAACAAGATTTCAAACTACCCGTTTCCATGGAGATTGAAGTAGAGAGACTGCAGACAGCAGACAGCAGAGAACTTCATTAAGTTTAAGGGTTCTGAAAGAAGAAGGATACTTTTGCTCTTGCATATTTCTTGGAGACCTTTGATATCTAATACATCATATTGTTCTAGAAATTTCTGTACTCTATTCATCATATTTATTAAAGAGAGCAGTTGAGAAATGCAAAAGTAGGGTCCTAATAATTATAGTGCGGAGAAAATCAACTTAAAGGAAACAGGGAATCGAATCTTGCGTTGAGATTGCTAAGAAGAAAAAAATAAAGCCGTTAGTTCTAGAAAAATAAGTCAGAGTTGTAAATTAAGCAAACACGGAATTGAAGGTAATGGTTTTCAAGGACAACAATTTAGACTGTTGAGGGGAACATTATGCAGAAGGAAATATAACAAAATATTTCTCGGGAAAATAACGAAACAACCGATGTGGGAATAGGACGGCAAAACTGATTTAATCTGGTGGGAAGGAGAAAGAAACAAATGAAAAATATTTCGATTAGAACTTGTGATAAGTGATAAAGCATGCGAAATTTAAAAATTGTAAATTTGAAAAAAACAATTATGAGAAAGAGGAACATAAAGTTAGCAAAAACCAAAAGGGAAGATTACGAAAGGAAATGTGAATGGGCAAATAATTAAAAGAAAAGCTAATAAAATTCTCACATCATCAATTCACCATCTTCGTTTTCCAACTTTATTGGTTTTTGTCCACAGTTGATGCATGCAGCTGATCTTCTGAAAATTAAAGAACATTTTAAAGAGTTATTTCTTTTTTTTCATTAAACATATAGTGGATATATCCAGTATGATGTCTCTTTAACATTGTGATACTGACAGATTCCTGCACCACAATAAAATCAAATAAGCAAAACGAAGCAGTATTCTTTTTTAGTGTCAAATTACCGGTACTCTTCTAACTTACAAACGTAAAATTTCCGCTTTTAGCCATTTGTTCTCCCGCTGCATAACTTCGAACTGTTCTTTTCTTTCCAATTCAACCTGTCTAGATCTTTTTCTGCTTTTTCTCACCGCATCATTGTTTTTGTCTCTTTTCAGCATGTATAGGGGATCCTTCGTTTTCTCTTCAACACTTTTTAATTTGTAGTTTCTAGCCTTGGTTCTAGGAACGTAGTCCGATCGCTTCTCCAGATCAAATGGCTTCATATTCTTTGGCAATGGAACTTCTTTCTTTTGATCGTACTCCATAACTTTTCTTCTTTGTACTCTTCTCGAAGAACTATTTTCCTGTTTCTTCTTCTTTGCTCCTGGTTCATAATCCGATTCATTATCTTCTATTTCAGGCAAGTTGTCCGATGATGACTCTACTTCAAATGTCACTTGCTTAGAAACCTCTTTTCTTAATAAATGTTTTTCGAAGTCATTCAAATCGTCATCTTTGTCATCATCTTCATCTGCGAGTTGCTGATTATTAGAATCTCTGGAGCCAAGTCCATTGTTCTGGTGTAAGATTTGCTTCATCTGTGGATACTCGGAACCGGAAGTAGGATCGAACTGTTGGAGGCCAACAAACTGCTGGCCGTTGGCAAAATATTGAGCACTAGGAGAATAACCATACGGGTAACTTCCAACGTAGTTCTGATCGTTGAATGAATAATCTCCATTTGGGAGTGGGTAGTGATGCAAATATAATGGACCACTTCTCTCTATCTTGTCATCATCTGAGTTGTCAGTTCGAACAAATTCTGCATTGTCTTTACTTATTCCTCGGAGAAGGTTAGAACAATTTGGATATCTAGACATTTTGTTCTAAAAGAAGGTGTATTTCTGTAATCGAACAAGAAAACTTACTGAAAACCTTTGAAACGAAATGATGAGCGATGTACACCGAATTTAATTTTCCAAATAAACTGTATAGATAAGCTACCACTAGCTACACTCTTACGTTTTATTCAGAAAATTGGGAAGCAAATTCAGGGGGTGCTACCTGCAAAACGAATGTTTAAAAAACATGAGAAGAACCCAATACTAGGTCAAACAGGTGCATGAGTAATACAAAAAAGATAAGGAATTGATTGCAGAGTGGAAAAAGAAAAGATAAACGGAACAAGAAATCTAGCGAGAAAAAGTGTGAATCATTCTTTTGAAGAACATGGTACTAGATATACTAGAACTGATCAAATTAACCATTTTGAAATTCGGGGTTGTTCGAAAGATTAGAAAATTGCTTACCGTATTTCCTCATATACAAGCCCACCACAGCCGTCAACGTTGAGCTCAATTATCTCGATTTCTGTGAAATATATGGGCAAGTGGTCAACTGATCAAATGTTTATCATAATATTACCATCACTTTATTTGTCGACAAAATTTTGGTAGCTTTAACAGGAATAGAGATAACTAAGCTCAAATTTAAAAGTTGAAGTTTCTCTATTAAATGTTTTACGGTATTCTCTAACAATTTTTTTCTAACAAGAAAACTACATATAAGGTGAAGAATATTGAAAAAACTCCCGGTGTCTTGCAAATGCTTATACACTCTTAAAAACAGGATATAATGATATGGGACCTTGTGGAAGCCAGTTCAACATGAAACCGGCGTCCCTGCCAACAGACGGCAAAGAACGACAGTTGTAAATGATGACAATGCTGCCGATGGGTGAGGACGAGACGAAAATGAAAATAAGGGAAGATTGGAACAGACGCAGATGGGTGGTGAAGAACAATTGCGAGAGCGCGAAAACGAAACGAAACGAAACGAAAATGAAGAAAGAAACAAGAGGCAGAAACGAAGGAAAAACGACGAGCAAAAGGGCAACTCTAATATCAATACATACCGTAAACACTCTAATAGAACGCCACCCGGACCGTCCTTGTTTGAGCCTATATGTCTCATTTCTCTTGGAAGATATCAAAAAGTTGTCAACTAATAGAAAGTTTATCATGAAATAGCAACATTTTATCAGTGAACCATTTTTTGATATCTTTCAGAGAAAATGAGATACATGGGCTCAAAGTTGACTATTCGGGTGGCGTTCTATTAGAGTGTTTACGCCGTAAACTTTACGGTATGTTTTTTTTTCAATAAGGATCTTGGAAAATCCAGATATGGAAGTATAATGCAGCATCAGGGATACGTTCTCTCCAATTTGAGTAGTCTTGAATCATTAAGTTAAACATTTGGTTGTTTTCAAGTCTATTCGTTTTCAAGTCTAGAGTCCATGCGCTTTTCAGGAACAACAGAAAACTTTTAGGTGAGAAAAACTTGCCATCCTGAAACAAGATAAAACAATTCACCTCCAATCTTCCTTATATATCCGCCTGAGAATCTTCGACTGTTCATCCATCTACTTGCCACGTGTACCGGACTGTGTATGGTAGTCTCGTCGGCTGAGCAATGCGTGGGCAAGTTTGTTGGGTGAGGTTTGTCTTGGAAAATATGGATTTTTGAAAGTTTTGCAGCTCTCGGACCAATTTCTCTGTCCAACGATATCCAAGCTGCTGTGTGCGGATGATGGACCATTACAAACGTTACTAAATGGGCGGAGCTTACACACATTGCTTCCAGTGGTTCTAACAACGAATGCACATCCAACATAAGGCACAGATTTGGGTTTCTAGGTCATCATGGCCTAAAATTGGGATTTCTAGGCCATAATAACCATATTTGAACATTTTCCAGACTCCTCGTCACCCTCTACACACTGGTCCGCTTCTCATCATCAGAAGACGTCACGAAAGATTTTCCATTTTGTTAGAGTTTTTGTAAAGCAGTGCTAACCAATGGAGTTCATTGGATACACTGGAGGAGACATAATAATTTTTTTTTATTTTCAAATTTTTTGTAATATAATGCTGTTCTTCTCCGAGAGGACTATACGAGATTTGGTGTTCCAGGCCGCTTTTTCAAGCTTGAAGAGTGACCTAGAATACCAAACTTTGTGTAGTCCTCTCGGAGAAGGCTAGAAATTCAAACGGGTTTTCTAATTTTTTGCAAATTTCGCTTTAAAAGTATGTTTTTCGCCGATTTTCAAGCTTTTCAGAATGTCAAAACTCCTTGAAAAACGTCTAAATGCTTGTGCAAAGTTCGACGATAATAAATATTACACAGAGTTTCAAAGCTATTACAATATTGTCGCTCAAGTGCATTCAGTAGTTTTGACTGTCAGAAATGTCTATGTTCTACGTGTTTGGAGAGGCTCATCGTTTGGACCAAAGCATCTGTAAGCTGATTTTCAAATTAAAAAAACCAAACTTTCAAATGTTATTTTTACAGAAAGGAAAGGCGAGAAGCTCAAATGTGTCACATAGACAAAGAAATGTTTGGATCCTATATCGTTCCACCAGATATACAAGTTATGAGAATTATCGAAAGATTCGGAAAATCGGATTTAATCGAGATTGTTGTCTATGATGATCATATTGAGACTGTGAAGAAATTAAAGTCCCTTGACTTTGTTGCAATTAAAAACGTCCATGCTTATGTGAAAGGCGACAATCTAACAATGACTCTTCATGGTGAAAATGGGGGAAAACATGATCGTGGAATCTGGGTGGTTCCGGAAAATTCTGTGAATTTGAATTTCCAAAGAATGAAAACACAGTGTGCTGAGTGGTTGCTTATTGTGCAAAGCGACCCTAATGAATATCGAGAATTCGGAATTTCTGATTCTGATGAATCAAACTCGGATGTGACTCTTATTCAAAAGGATCTTGACGAGAATCAAATAGCGAAAGCTTGCAATAAAATTGTTATTGGAGATCACATTTCTGTTGATTACTTTCAGTACGAGCGCTATGAGAAAGCCAAAAAATGGTTGAATTTTCCAGGCAATCTTCAAAATGCAACTATCACTTTCTCACTCATGCTCACTCTGAGCACTGCCGCGGAATCAATGCCAAGTTTCCACATAAAGTTTATTGCAGCAAGGAAACTGCTAAAATTTTGAATTTAATTGTTGGGTAAGTGATATTTATGTTTTGAAAAATGAAAAAAAAAATCGATTTTTTGCAGAGAACCCCTTCCGGAAGACACGATCCAACCTCTCGACCTTAATATTCCCTATAAATTCGAAAATTTTCAAGTCACTGCAATCGATGCGAATCATTGTCCTGGAGCAGTGATGTTCGTGTTTCAAGGACCTTTAATCGATGAAATCGCGGGCGGTCCGATTCTCTGTACTGGCGATTTTCGAGCAGAAGCATCGTATATGCGACAGTTTGAGAATGAGAAACTCGGTTGGGTCAAGGACATATCTTTTGCAAGAATCTATCTGGATAATACGTATTTCTCCGTCGATGTTGCTTTTACTTCAAGAGAGATTTCAGAACAATTGTTAGTGCATTACAGACATGAGCGGAATTCCTTATTCCTTATTCCTTCTTCCTTATTCCGGGTGTTTTTTCTATTCCTTATTCCTTATACCTTCTTCCGGGTTTTTCAATTTTTATTCCTTATTCCTTATTCCTGATTTTTTCTTATTCTTCCGGATAATTCGAACAATTAAAAATTTGAAATTTAAAATTAGAAAAAACGCTTTCTAAACCTAAACTACCACTTAAAAAGTCGTTTGATGAAGCCTAAATTCCTCTTTTATACGTTTTGTCAAAAAGTTTCAAAACACATTCGGCTTTTTTCGAAATTTTGTTCCGTATTCCTTATTCCTTCTTCCTTATTCCGGGTGTTTTTTCTATTCCTTATTCCTTATTCCTTTTTCCGGGTTTTTTAATTTTTATTCCTTATTCCTTGTTCCTGATTTTCAATTTTTGTCCCTTATTCCTTATTCCTTCTTCCGGATTTTCAAAAATTTTATTCCGCTCATGTCTGGTGCTTTAGAGCGCAAAGGCAAAGAAAAATCAAAAAATTGGAGACCCCGCAAATTCCGGGGAAAGAAAAAACCTGGGAAAAAAATCGGGGAAAAGTGGGCGGAGGGAGTCGGGGGCGGAGCCTAAAATGCAACCCTGGCACGGTTTTTCTGCACATTTGGACATGGTCATGAGGGGGCGAAGCCTAAATTGCAACCCTGGCACGGTTTTGCCGCACGGTTTTTCTCGACTCCGCCCACTTTCCCCGGTTTTTCCCCGATTTTTTTCCCCGGAATTTGGGGGGTCTCAAAAATTGGAAAATTTTGCAGACTTCAAAAAGAGATTATGAATCATCCGGATGCTGATATCGTGCTACCACTACACCAGCTCGGTCAGGAACGTATAATCGAAAATCTGTCTTACAGAATATACGAACCGATTTTTGTGTATCCGGAAAAATTGGCTATCGGCAAAGTTTTGGGATTCTTTTACGAGTATGGAATCGCAAATCAGAAACGACAGATCCAAGTGGTGGAAAAACGCGAGTGGACGTAAGCGCGCTCTAATCGTTATCAATAGAGCGAGCTTTGTTTAGGATGCCAGATGCCCTAGGAAAGCCAATAATTGTCATCGAGGTCACACAAGTTGATCATCTATACGGAGGAGTTTCTGAATCGTAGGTGTCACCTAGATTTTTTCACAAATTATTGATCTTTTCAGCGATCCTAACATCAGAGTTCCCTACTCCGACCACTCGTCGCGCGAGGAGATTCTGAAATTTTTAGAATGTTTTCAATTCAATGAGATCTACCCAACCTCCAAGTCCTACTCAAAAGCTGAATTCAAGACAATGATGCAAGCTGGAAAAACATTTACAGAGAAAAATTTGGAGAAGTAAGACAAACAATTTTTTTGGAATTTCACAGAAAGTTTCAGACAACTTGAACTCCACTCCTTCGTTGAAAAGACTCCTGAAATAAGGATTCCAGGACGATTTCATCGATCCGATTATCCGGAAGGAGAGTGGCGAGACGATCAGGAAGAATATATGGTTGGAGATCTGGATGAGTGGGAGGAAGGACCACCGGAGACGGTTCCGGAGCCTATGGTTAGGAGAAAAAACCTGAAAAGACGTCGGATTAAATCAATTTAAAAATTAATTATTTTTTAAATTTTAATGTTTTTGCATTTTTCAAAAACCAAAATAATGAAATTTAATGAATTTGTATTTGTTTTATTTGTTCCGTGGCGATTCTTAATTTTCGTATTCGGGAATTTTGAAGAGGGAAACGATCATTTTGGAGGTGAGAAATTAAGGACTTTGAAAAAATATTGATTTGAGTTTCATTCCGGAGATAAAGCTGATAAGTTAATGAAAGATGAAAAGTCAGCTTTATTCAAACTGAAAAGAAATTATTCGAAAGCACAACTTCTGGCGCTTTTATTTTGTATCCTTAGTTCGTCTGACAGTCACTCTTGAACATAGTTTCTTTTTACAGAATATGGGATGAGTGTAGTAAAACCAACAAACAATTATATGAGCTCTCGCGTCTATTAACCACGGTCGAATTATATAAAGAACGATGCTGCATGAGCCAAAACTCTCTATGACGGAAATGGAAGAGTTTATGACAACTGGCAGCAGGATAAAAATCATTGTTATCGTTAGACTTTTTTCAGCTTTTCTATCATATTTACGACGTAGCATATTACTCCTGAATCAGACAAGAAATTGGAATACAGGTGAAGTAAAGACATACTGATTCCTCTTTCGCCACAGCTTCCGCATTATTAAAAAATTCAAACACACAATTGTTATGATAATCGAGGGATAGAAAGTGACATCAATTATGTTTGACAAAGTCTGTGAACCATTTTATTCGATAAAGAAATGTTACGAACTTCACTCACCATGCTAATGTCTGGTTGGTTTGAAGTGATCATCACGGAGTCAGCTGGGAATGGGGGATTCATTGCAACACAAGAAGCACCGGTCATGTATCGAGGTAGAGCCAGAATAAAAGCAAACGGGATTGAAAAAATGAGAAGGTAGACGAAGAATGATGCCTCAAATAAACTTATAATGGAAAAAGTTACAAAAAAATCCAGAAACCTTCTTCCATGCTTCAGCAAAAAGTAGATAAACTCGTATCAGACAGAATGAAATCGTTGACAAATTTTTAGCGTAAACAACTACGTAGCTGACGAATACCATAATGCTCATCAATTTTTCCATTTGGCATATACAACCAATGTCCAAAAAACCACTATTCGGTATTCGAGAAACTAGAAAATCGATCAAAATGTGACAGAAATTGAAGTATTCCATTATTAAAAATTGGATATACAACATAGGATGCAAAGTGTTCGGATTCAAAAGTTTCCGATTTTTAAAATAGAAAACTGTCATTCTGATAGTAATGGCTATAGGGGGAACACTATAAATTGCACTGAAAAATAAAAAGAAACTGAAATAGTCAATATGAATGGGCATCTTTGTTTGGCGAGTTAGTAGAAAGAAAGCAGACACTTTCTGTCAGAAAACAAGAGCACTGGAATTGTGTTTTGCCGTTTAGACGAAGAAGTGGGTTAGTCAGAAGATAGTGATTAGTGGACATATGAAAAATTTGAGGGTATTTTAAATTCAAGTATTTTCCAAGGCATACAATTATGAGAAACATATCGAAGATCAGTACAGTGTAGAAATTCGGTTACAGTTCATTTTCGGAATCTTACTTGTGTGTAAGCTAGATTGCGCAAATTTTTTTTGAGTTTTGCATTCTTGGTAAAAGTCGAATTTTAGGTTTTAATGAACCATTTCTCAGTGAGTTTTTCAAAGCTTCTAGTTACTTGCAGTTTGATGCTCATCAAATGAGATAATGATGGTCCCAATTTTGAATGGAATATTCGAGAAAATCACACAACCAAACTACAATCTTAAGTTACAAGCTAAGTTACAATACTAGATTCATTCGAAGTATATTAGAACAAAAATATGCGTTCCGAATTATATCTCAAATCTGCAAAAAAAATATCTCAACTCTGCAAAATCGTATTTTCTCTTGAAAACGCATCTCCTCTGTTTGCCTCTCCTCGGTTTCAAGGGAGAAAAGTGGGCGGAGTCTCATGACACACAAAGTATAGTGGCCGGCGCGAACCCGGGAAGTGTCGGCTGCTTCTGGGGGAAATAGAGGGAAATTGCTGAAAATTGATAGTCTGACACTTTGAAATGCGGAGAATCCGAAAATCCACTCTTTGGAATCTACTTCTCACTATGGAAACGTTTCTGTCTTGCTCGACTGATACTTTAACAAAATGTAACATTTGAATAATGAAATAGAAGAAACAAGAAGGAATTAAATTTTGCAAAACGTTGTCTAGGTCTATTCATGTGCTGCATAAAAAAATTTAGCTTGGATCTTCAAGATTAAGAAAACAATGAAAGAGTATAAACATCATTCCAGGAGACGTTTGTTTCTTGGAATTTTTAAAAGGTGCTCTCTCCAAATGAGAAATTAAATCAGAACTATTCCCGAAATTGAGTTGTTTGTGACAACTTCCGAAAATTAATGAGCATTCAAGTTTTGACCCTTTGACTCAATTCCAACCAACGTTGTCATACTAAACTTGATATTCATGCGGAATCCTCAGATTCATTTCAACCCATCAAACAGGCATTGGAATTTTGATGCACCACATTTCCATGTGTACTTCAAATCCGTCTTAATTTTTCTATTTTTGAGCTGCATTGGTCCATAGTAACGACTTCTTCAAATGACATAAAATGCAGAAAAATGAAATGTCGGACCTTTTTGTTTTAAAATGAAACTTTGAATTGCTGACATGACTTTGGATTTTAATGAGAAAACATTTCCAAATGACGTTTATTGTGTCAAACTCTCTTATTACAGCCTGCTCGTAACTTAAATGTTATTTACTGCTATTCTAAAATCCCAGAAGTATTTGGCTTATAAGTTTTCTTCATTCTTTCAGTCCTTGATTAGAAGGAGCTCTAGCATATAATAATGAGATACTCTGGTGAAGAATCGATTTCTCTCGTCTCTTCATCTTTTTTTTTTGAAAGTTTTTGTTTGGAATAAACTTTTTTCAGTTTTTAGGAATGACTCCCAGACCGGAAACCTTTGGAAGCTTCATGCAATGTCTTCTCGAAAACTGCTTTTCAGCCGCAATAATTGTGAGTTCAGGTTATTTTCTGTATTTTCACAAATTAATTTATCAGATTCTCGTCCAAGTAATCAACAGACGTCAGCAGTTGGCAAACATCGAACGTGCCAAGAAGGAAAAAGAGATGGAGGAGGAGGTCAAGAAAAGAAAGGAGGAGGAAGAAAACCGGACCAGGAATGATGAAAACGAGGAACACGGAGAGTCCACCACTGAAAACGAGACGAACAAGGATGGGGTACACCCGAAAACTGATTAATTTTAACACTTGTTTCGATTATATTGATATGATTAATAGATTACTCTTGATGTCAGCTTTATGCTACGTTTTAAAGATCAGAACAAGAAAGCATTTTTACGATCAAATAATGTGCACGACTCCTCTTTAATCACCTTTAAATTTCTCATTATAAACTTTTCCTAACTCTCAATATGTCTTCCCTTGTTCTGTAAAAACTTTAAAAAAATAAAGCAGTATTGTTAAATGAACTAACATATTTGTGTTAACGAGTAGGGTTCTACATGAATTGGGATCATAGAAGTTGTAGGCTCGGAGTGTATCTCTTGTAGACAGACATCTGTTTTGTACTTTCTCGAATTTGCGGACTGAGGTTATAGATCATCAGATAAACTAAAAGAGAAAATTATTGATTACTCATTCAAACAATTCAAACCCTTACTTATTTCTCTGACTGATTGTGATTCTTAATGTTCAAATTGGTCTCTATTCTTCTGTTTTCGTTGACACGCCTCCTTCACATCAGAGTAGAATCATGTACCACCTAATTTCTACCTTTGTACACGGTGCTTCTCAGAAATTTCGGTACCACAATGTGTGGATGTGGTTGACTCCTCCTATGCTTCTAAATATACGCAACAGTTTCTCGCTGTCATTTTCCTTTTATTTATGAGTTTGCGCCGTTTCTCTTGTTTTCTTACTCACTCTCATCACTCTTGGTTACCTAAGTGAGCATACTCATCCGAAATTTCACTTTAGTCACTCTCCCTTACCTTCTTGTTGTCTATACACCCTCCGAGTATAAGCCTCTCTAATCAGGAGGTGGGTCAGAGTTATAATTATACTTTCACTCTCTTCTTCTTCTTTTATTTATAGTCGAAATACCAGAAGGATGCTGTGGTCGGTTCTCAAGTTTTTCTTCGTGGCGATGTTCTTCTATTTTGTCTTTGTTCTCATTCTAGTGAGTTCCTCTTTTTGTTGCTTGTCCCTGATATTCAACTTTTCAGGTGCCCTTCTACTGTCTCTACCTTTTTCTTCGCTGGATGTTCACAAAACCCAAACGTCTGGAAGGAAAAGAGTGGGAGGAAAATAAACAGAAAAAAATCAAGGAGCTCAAGCTAAAGAAAAGAAGGAGACGGAATTAGACGCCTATCCAAATGTCCACCGTTTGAAAATTGATCATCCTTCAACTCCATAATGTAAAACGATTGTCATACTAATATGTATTCATACTTTCTCCTTTTGTAAAAAAATGTGTTTCTCTTAAATGAATGAATTGATTTCTAAACAAAGAAAGATCTAACATTTACGGACACACATTCCACAGGAACTCTAATCGAAATTTGATTCTCATCGAATGAGATAATGATGAACCCAAATCTGAATGGAATATTCGAGAAAATCACATTACCAAATTGCACTCTTAATATTTAGTTGCAGTACTATGTTCATTCAAAGTATATAGGAACAAAAAAAGAAGTATTCCGAGTTTTCCCTAAGCGTTGGAAGTCGTAGTTCGTAGATCGTTCATAACTTGGCTCATTATACACCCTAGAAGCTGAAACCAGTCTCAAACATTATCATTTCCAGCCTTTTATCTATTTCCGTCAAAAAAAAAGCGAGAAAATATCTCAACTCTGCAAAATCGTATTTTCTCTTGAAAACGCATCTCCTCTGTTTGCCTCTCCTCGGTTTCAAGAGAGAAAAGTGGGTGGAGTCTTCTGACACACAAAGTATAGTGGCCGGGAAGTGTCGGCTGCTTCTGGGGAAACGCGCCGATGACTCTGTCTGTTGCGTTTATGAACTGTTCCGCAACGTTAAATAGAGGGAAATTGCTGCAAATAGTCTGATAGTCTGACACTTTGAAATGCGTAGAATCCAAAAATCTACTTTTCGAAATCCACTTCTTAATATGGAAACTTTTCTGTCTGTCTCGGACATTCACTTGAATGGCGGTACTCGATAAAAAAACTGAGTAGAATAAAACTGTAACATAGTAAAACTGGGCATAATAAAACCATACTTAACAGGCCTGGCCGGGCGGAGATGGTGTCTTGAGCCTCCTATCTAATAGGGAACCTATAGGGCTGAGAATCGAAATTTTAAATTCATACAAACTCCAGTTTCCCCAAAGTTTCAGCCTGATTGGTTCAGTCTCAGTTTTTTTCGCGGATTTTTTTGTCATTTTTTGTAGTTTTTACAGGTTGCCTGAATAACCCCATCGAATATCTTTTTCTGAGAACTTTCGTGAAGATACAATACTGTATTGTCGAGGCGAGGACCGATGTCTAACCAACACAAGCATGTTTAAGAATTGGTTTTCTTCGATTATAACTGCTTAATTGTTTTTCAGAATGGAAATTGCAGTTTTATTCCCTTCCTGTGTCGTCGCGAAAGTCTATCTGCAGTTGCCGCTTAGAGACAAGAGAAAAAAGAGAGACGCAGACGACAAGGCAACCAGTAGCCGATATCCATCGTCGTGCACTCATTTATCGAATTTCATCCGTTTTCTTCTATTTTTTCTCCGAAAACGTCTTCCAATTGATGCCACGTCATAGATATTCTGAATAAAAATAAATTAACGAAAATGGCGACTTCCGCTATGTTTATTCTGGATTTAAAGGGAAAAGTTAGAAATTGTTCGAAATTGGCTTCTAATTTTTATTTTTCTCAGACGATAATATCCCGAAATTATCGTGGCGATGTGGACATGACAACGGTCGATAAATTCATCACTTTGTTGATGGAGAAGGAAGAAGAAGGGTTGGCAGCACCGGTGCTCACTTATCAGGACACCAATTTTGTGTTCATCAAGCACACAAACATTTATTGTTAGTTTTGAGTACAAGTCGATTTCCGACATTCTTTCACACTGGATTATTGTTTTTATTGTCTAGATAGTTGAATTTAAATCAAAATGTTCTATTATTTCATCATTTCAGTGGTCTCAGCATGCCGCTCCAACGTCAACGTCACAATGATCCTTTCGTTTCTCTACAAATGTGTCGAAGTGTTCTCCGAATACTTTAAAGACGTTGAAGAGGAATCGATTCGCGACAATTTTGTTGTAATCTACGAGTTGCTTGATGAAATGATGGATTTCGGTTTCCCACAAACCACAGAAAGCCGCATTTTGCAAGAGTGAGTCTGAGGAAGCATACTAATAGCCAATCTAATTCGGTTAAGCAGATAAATGCATTCAAACATTCATGTTCATGAAACTCACACGTTTTTCAGGTACATTACTCAGGAAGGCCAAAAGCTGGTTTCGGCACCTCGTCCTCCGATGGCAGTCACGAATGCTGTTTCCTGGAGATCCGAGGGAATAAAGTACCGGAAAAATGAGGTATTCCTGGATGTGATCGAAAGTGTCAACATGCTGGCAAGTGCCAATGGAACAGTTCTCCAGTCGGAAATCGTTGGAAGTGTCAAAATGAGAGTTTATCTCACTGGAATGCCTGAATTGCGGCTTGGTTTGAACGACAAAGTTCTGTTTGAGGGAAGTGGAAGTGAGTGATATTCGGAATTTGAGAAGTATAGCTAAGTGTGATATTTAGGAGGAAAGAGTAAGTCGGTCGAGCTGGAAGATGTGAAGTTTCATCAATGTGTTCGTCTGTCTCGCTTCGATACCGATCGCACTATATCATTCATTCCCCCTGATGGCGCTTTCGAGTTGATGAGTTATAGGTGAGTAGAAGCGACCTAGAAAAAAGAAAATCATTCGAGTTCTAGACTGACTACTGTTGTGAAGCCACTGATTTGGATTGAGACAAGTATTGAGCGTCACAGTCACTCGAGAGTGTCATTTATCATCAAGGTATTTTTATTCTCTTTCTCCTACTACCTCTATCATTGATTTCAGGCAAAATCTCAATTCAAACGTCGGTCCACTGCCAACAACGTTGAAATTATCATCCCAGTCCCATCTGACGCAGATTCGCCGAAATTCAAGACCAGCATCGGATCGGTGAAATACACACCGGAGCAGAGTGCATTCGTATGGACCATCAAGAGTTTCCCAGGCGGGAAGGAATACCTTCTCACTGCACACCTATCTCTACCATCTGTTATGAGTGAGGAATCAGAGGGAAGACCACCGATCAAAGTCAAGTTCGAGATTCCATACTTCACCACTTCGGGAATTCAGGTGCGTGAAGTTTAGTCAGAGGTATCTAATTTAGTTTAACGTTTCAGGTACGCTATTTGAAAATCATAGAAAAGAGTGGCTACCAAGCGCTTCCGTGGGTTCGGTATATTACGCAGAACGGAGAATACGAAATGAGAATGAAATGATAATGGAATCGTTCCCACAATGTTTATAGTATTACCCCATTTGTCTTCTAAATCTAAGATCAAACTATAATGCTCATCTATCTATTTTAATGTTCATTTTTCTTCTCTACTCAACACATGTTGTGCTTCTTGCTCTTCTTCTCCAACCAGATTGACCTCGATTCATTTTTTTCCTTTCCCCTATTTATTGATTTCTTTATTTTTGTCCTATTTCATCTCTTAAATGGATCCGACGTGTTTTCTAAAGATGTTTTCAGACGTCTCTCAAAATCTAAATATGATCCTCAACCTGTTTTCATCGAATTGTACGCTCGAAATAAATACGTTCTCATCATGAGCTAGTTTAACTGATTTCAGGTTTTCTATGAAAACTGTACAATATTTGATCTAGTGGATAAGCGGAGTAATAATGATTCGTTTGAAGAATGCATCGGACACTGATGTTTGTTGCAAGTCGATCTCTGCGAGCATCTGCTATTTCACGAACAATCACAAAAGAAAGAAGTGAAGCAAATCGACTCATGGAGCAGATAGTAGAAGACTTGAAAGTATAAAAAAGATTCTAGATATTCAAAAAATAACTATTTTTAGACGAAAGGAACGGAGTTTGTGATCCCTGGACGAGATTCGTTTGCTCGGCAAGAGTCAGCTAAAGTTTTCGAGAAACTTGTAGCGTGTGGTGTCAAATCGGAATTCCTATTAGATGCCAACACGAAGAATGCGTCGCTGTTTAAAACAGTCGTCTCACAACCTGCTGTCTCTTTCGAAGTTAGTTTTTAAAGCTAAGCAGAAAAATGGATATTGTTTTTATAGATCATTGAAACACTAGTCAACGTTGGATATGTTACTTTTGAAGACGCAATTCGACTTTTAGCGATGTAAGGTATTTCTTTGTTTTTCAAAGTTTAGTTGTTTTAAGCTTTGATGGGCACGTTAAAAATTATATATCGCAGCGAAAAACACACAAAATTAAACACGTTTCAGACAACAATATTCCCCCTAAACCAGCCCATCGAGGTGACGTTCTATTAAATATCAATTATACGGTACTTCCGTCCGTTAGTGTATCACTCTCGAAATGAAGTGTCACTATTCATCAAAACGACCATTAATTCTGATGAAGACGTCATATTGAAAAGTTTCACACCTTCCCTTATCTTCTCATTTTTATCAAAAATAGATACTTTCCCTTTTCAATTAGATACGTTTGCAGCTACACACCCTCTTCATCATTTTTTTCACTTTGAAACAACATAAATAGGTA